GAGACAAGAGATGTTTCTCCCATCCCTAATGTGTGGGATGGAAATGTAACATCAAGACTCCCAGACAACGTTCTGTTTTATGGCAATAAATTGCAATACAATACACTAAAGGCATTTTCATATTTTAAAGATAATTTCCCTACATATTATGACAGGGTTGAATCATTTTTCATGTCCTAGATAATTATTTAATAATCTCATATCTTAATATAATAATTCTAGATTTAAAAACCTTTTAGTTGTGGCACAATCCAACATTCCTGTAGCGTATTTTATTGCAAACTGCTAATACGAGGGAGTAGATGGAGAATATAATTTTGCTCATAAATTTCATAATGAAAAATGTAACATATGGATAAACTGTATGTCTATAATGCCTTGAATATATAAAGCATTGAGCCTAACTTTAGAGCCATCCTTTGTTACAACTGCATCCAGCTTTTTGGTCTTAAGATCAGTATTCCATTAAGCCACAAGCTGACAAAAAAAGTCTAGGTAAAAGTACAAGCAGCAGCCTGTTCTTTGGCCTAGCTAACTGCAGAAACTCCAAATAGTTATTTTAATACGTGTTACTCTTTAGGAGAATTACAGTGTAGTGCATTTGTGCTTACAGTGTTAGCACTGACAGGAAGGTCGTGGGTAAGTTCAGATTTTTCTCTGAGTATGCTTTTACCAAAGCTAACAGGGAGACCCAGGCAGAGTACGCCAAAAGGGAGCAGTGTTATTGTGAAAGTGCCATAGCAGTAATGATGTTAGTTATCTCAATTAATGTCAGTCAATGTACAAACATTGTTTATGGGGGTTAAGTGATAGGTTAGTGGGTCCAGCTGGATGTGACCAATGACTCACCTCAGAAACAAAGAAGCCAGGGTACAATTTAAATGGATGTTAGACTTCTGTCATGAACTTCTGGGGGTACAAACCACTATAATTTCTTATTTCTTTTACATTAATGTGTCTATTAGAAATTGCCTTTCAATTACGTCCTTACATGTTCATCTCTGACACACCCTGCAGCAGACTTCCTGGAAGCTTCATACTTGCTTAGCTGCTATACACTGTGTCAAAGAATCTAAAAATGGATTCTTAACTTCCTATAGGTCATTGCAACTATAATGGATATGACTAAAGCAAGACTGTAGGAAGAAACAGTACCTTTTATTATTCATTCTAGTAAAATACATTTATATTCTCAATAAGCCTTTCCTAATGTCTTTAATGGAAAAACATACTATATAGTTATTTTATGACTCCTGCTTAATGAGCATTGGCTCTGAATTCTTCTGCTTAAGATGTGCTGGCCTGCACTGCTCTAAATTGACAGCCTTAATTCAGCAGCTTGAGTAACAGCATCACCATTTGCTCTGTGCTTCTGTGGTACACAGTACTGAATTCTACACAGTCCCTGTGAAATCAATCAATCCTGTCGCCTGTTGACTCACACAGACAGCTTAGTCAGCTCCATGAAAGGTTTCATTTTTTAAATGAAAAATTCAGATGAAGATTGCTGCTTCAGCTGTCTGTGATTCAACTACTTGTAAAAGATAGCCATGTCCTCTAATATTCACTGATTGAATAGTACTGGTGTACTGAAGTGATAATCAAAGTAAGGTAACTTGTAATTTTGAATGAAAATAAGGTATCAGTGTCTAGAAGATATGAGGACACAATTTGTGGTTGTATGGGACAAGCAACAAGGAAGGAGGAAGCCTAGAAGACATATCACAAGGTGCAGGACCCCATTTTAAACCTCACTTGAAATGGCACTGTTAGTCCTGTTTCTGAGGTGAAAGTCATATTGATCACATCCAACAGGGAACACTGACCTCTTACCTAGCCTCTGTAGTTTTGCTTTAGACAGAATCACAGAATCTGGTGTTTGTTTGATCCCTCCACAAGCTAATTCAGCATATTGTCCTGGCAAAAAATAGCTAGTTTTGGTTTGGATGGGCATAAGGGTTTTGTCAATGTTATTCAGTGCAGCACACCAAAGCACAGGGAGGCAACTTGGTAGACCAGAGGGACATGGCTTCCAAGTCTCTTCCAATGCCAGTCCAGTGGACTGACCACAAGGCTTGATGTGTGGTTTAAAATACTTAAAAGCCCTCCAACATTTCAGTGTCAAAATCAATAGTAATCTGATGAATTGGGCCCTTCATTTTCTTCTCCCTCCCCCTCTTCCACATTTTTAATCTCTTTCTCTCTGCTGGTATACTAAATATGTTTTGAGGTTTCAGACAAATTGGGAACATTTGTAATTTTAATTAGTAGACATCAGAGGACCTGACCCCTTTTGTAACAACCGGAAGAGCTGAATAATTGACATCTGAGTAGTCAAGGTCAAAATATATGTTGCTTAATGTACGTCTTACAATTATCTAATACTGACTTTAGAACACCACAGATGTTAAACTACTAAATCTTCAGAGCCCAAAAATCTGGGTTTTTTTAATGAACAAATTAAACAATGTATGTTTTGTAAAATTGAAAATCATTAATGGCATAGTGGCATAACATTGCGTGTAGCAGCAGTGCATCTGTTCATGTTTAGGTCTGTTTACATTAGCAATAATACTTAGGATAAAGCTGCTTCTGTCTTTAATACAGGATCTGCAATGTCATGTGAGGTTCAGTATCTGCAACACAAGCACAATTACATAACGATGCTTCACCTACAATGTCTATTAGCGTGCATTAGTCAACAGAGAGGCATACACTTACAGGGATCAGTGTTCCTGTTAACATGCTGGATCATACATACATACGAACAGACACCCCCATGAAAATGGGTCCAAGGAGCAGATGATCTGGTTTTCTTAAGACATTGTTCTTGTGCTCCCTAACAGTAAGAGCAAGATCATTTCTGTCTGGTTATGCTAATCTGTTTTCAAAGCTTGGTACAATTTGTCAGAGCAGGCTGTTTTACCATTATAACAGCTCTAAACTCAGGGTGTTACTTCTGCAGTAATAGATGTGGGAGAGAAAAGGGGAGAAATTAGTCTACATGCAGAGCTGTGCAGCAGCAGCAGTTCAGGGTACTGCTTACGACATGACAAGCATATCTGGAGACTTAGGAGGAACTTTGGAAGCTACATCTCAGAGCAAAATAAGTGGGCTTGCATATGCTTGAGCCCGTTTAGCTAAACCACTGTAAGACTGTACATAAATTATTTCTACAAAGCTGCTTCCTATCTCTTACATTCATATTAACTGCTTCAGTCAAGTAACTATTTTTCTTCAGCTTTTTGGAAAGAACCAGCTAGAAGTAAAGTGCTTCTATCAGAGAAGAGTAAAAGGCAGGGACACATTGTAATACAAGTAGTATGGGACCCAGAGCAAGGAACAGTCCAAAAGAGGGCAGGACAGGGCATTTAATTGCTCCTGAAGGGCAACCAACCCCATAAAGGTGGATACTGAGTGCTTGTCCTACAACCTCATCTTCAGTGGTGAGCTCACCAGACCCTTGTCCTAAAGTCTGTTTTTTATTTCCTTGAACTTTTCTTCCCCTCTAGCTCTGTGTGAGGTAACCTCTCCAACCAGTGCAGTGAGATCTGACAAACGTTATTAGTCAGCCCTCTGCTGCCACAGTTCTTGGCGTGGTGCGTTAATACAAACTGAAATCGGGGCCCATTCAAATCACTCTGCCACACTCAATGTAACACACGAGGGCACACCCCCCACCTACAAGTTCAACATAGTGGTCACCGCTAGCAGAGAAGCTGCAAGGTGCAGTAGTAAGCTCTTCATCTGCCATGGATAAATCAGAAAAGGACCATGAATTAAGACCTTGGTGCTCCCATCCACCTGCTGGGGAGCCTGGGGCAGCCAGTACTGCAGATAGGAAAGGCACTGCTGTAGCTTCAGAGCCTGCTTTGCACTGACTGCACACAGCACTGGGAGCTGATGGCAGATTGTGTTTTAAACATTACCCAGTGGTGTCGACTTGTCTTGGTTTGAGAGGCTGTGTTTGAGCAGTATGCTTCCACAGGGCATCTCACCCAAGTTAGGCAATCAGGTGCCCCAACTTCAGCCTCAGGCATGCACTCTAAATTTCATTCCCTCCCTGACAGATCTTTTGTTGAGAAAAAGCCATTACACAATACAGAACGGGAATTAAACCTCAACACATTTGCTAGCCCTAACATTTGTTCTATAAATAACAAGTGCTAGTCCCAGATTCCTAATGACTTAAAATAAAACCATAAAGATGAATGTTTTATAAAGCCAGAAGACTTTCCAGTACAGTGCAAAAATGTAACTCATCCCTGACATCATGTTTACTCATCACTTTAAGCAGCTGTAAATGCTGCTCTTTTTAATTTTGCCACACATGCACTTACTGCCTTTTCTTTCCACTTTTATGCAAATGTTAAAGCAAACTGCAATCTCTAAATATCCTTCTTAGTCTTTCTTGTAGTTATGTGACATGGCTGAACAGAAATACCTTCCCACCTCTTTACTTTCTGTGTATTATGGTGCAGTTCTGAGATAAGTAAGTGAGCTTTCTCCTCACATGAGGCTTAAGTATGAGCAATTACTCAGCTAAAAATCCAGAGAATGTCATCAGCAGAGTTCTTCCCCCGCTCTTGAACAGCATATGGGCAGGGAGAAAGTAAGACTAATAAGAGAATGGCTTCTTGTTGGCTATTTAGCTGAAACATTTATTGCAAAAACTCTGTCACTGCTTGAGCACAAGCTCAAGGCCCCACAGCTATTGCTCTGAGCAATTCCCGTCTGGACTGGCACAGCAAGCAGGACAGATGCTAAGCCAACGCTGCAGGAGCCCGGGCCTTCCTAGGAATTCTGGTTGATAGTCAGTTTAGCAAATATCTGATACCTACACCACAGCTCAGGTGAATGTAACAAAATTAGCAACCTGCTACATCACTAGAGATAACTAATGACAGCAACCAGTTTGAAAGATCTTTGAAAAGAACAAACATGTCCAGTCCAAAAATCTCAGCACAGACGTAATAATCCTCTTATACATCTTCTTTCAGAGAGGACGAAGGACTCTGACATTTCAGTACTGAAAACTTCTGCAGATGTGCAAGTTGGAGGAAAAATACTCAGTTACCTTAAATACTGAGGTAGCAGAGCCCCTGCAGAACCACAGCAGGCGAGGTGATACTGTCATTCTGCACTGTTCACATAGCAAAGTACTGAGCAATCCAGGTGCAGTCTGTGGCTGCCAGCTGTTCTTTGAGAAATGTTATCCAACCTTCAAATGGAAATTAGAAATATCAGGTTTCTCTCTAGATGCAGCAGATAATTTCTGGACGGATTTTACATTTGGGAAGTGTTTAGAAGAGACTTACCATCTTAAAGGAGCCGTGGACTTTGCCAAAAGTCAAGACTCCTACAGGCTGGCCTGTGCAATTATGTTTGTGGCAACTCATTGTTTGGAGTACAAAGAACAAACAATAGCCAGTAAGCAGTCGATAGCCTTGTGCAGAGCTGAAACCATCATTTTATCCTTCACACTAAACTTCAGCTTCTCCATGTGCTCTTAAGCTTCTTGTTTTCAACCTAAAACAGGATCCTGGGTGTGAAATAGCAATCCAAATGTTAAATCACCCAGTTTTTAGTACCATTGGGATTTGCTTGACTGAGGAAAGAGCAGCACAATTCAAACCTGACCCAGTTTAACTTTTGCTGACATTAATGCCACATTCTGCAATAGGAAAAATCCTGATCTATGTCTTATCTGAAAGGGTAGTATCTATAAAAAACTAAATTATCAACTGTTATTATAAATGCCTATAGGATACCAGGATTCACCCTACTTTCCCAACTAAGATTGATCACCAGAAAATATTTTGTCCACACCGATAGTTGTATTGCAAATGATTCAACCAGCTCATGTAGCATAGTGGGGGTGCACTTTATTATCTTTTCAACCCTCTTGAAAAATGTACTGGAATAGAGGGACCTACCAGTGTGCACCAGTTTTTATGAATCACCTATCGAAAGAGGTGGTGGCCCCATGAGATCCAGTCATCCTAAAAACACAGGTAACTTTGGTCAGGGAGGGATAAAAGCAAATTAAGTGTGAAAAGTGGAAAGTTTTATAGAAGGTCTATAAGGACAGGAGAAGGAGTCACAGAACCTAATCCTGAAGTTGTTCAAGGGCAGGTATTAAACTGACAAACTGTAGATGCTGGATGTACCCACTTAACCCAGCATATATTTTCCAGGCTAGGTTGCATTTGCAGGGGAACCCCAGGTGGAGGAAGCAAGCTAGCTTTCTATCCCCACCCTTATCTGAATGAGATTTAACGATCCTTTAAAAGCTACAAGTTTCCTTTCCTATCTCTCAAGACACATAATGTCGTTTTGACTTGCCCACTGGTATGATTTCGTCTGCCTCGGGCTTTTCAGAAATGCAAATGTATTCCTGGCAAAAAGGAGATACCATCTTCGATGTTTGATTTAATTACTAGCAGTCAGTGCACAAGGCAGGAAAGAGAGTAAGCAAATCTCAGCGCAAAGCCTTGCCATACAGAGAACAGGTATTTTGCATGTAAGTCAACTCCCACTCCTTACGGAAGCACATATGCAAGACTCCTGCATGCACCTTATTGCTTGCTCATTAACAGTTACTACCACAGTAACAGGTCTGGAATAACTGACACCCAACATTGTCTTCAAGGCATACATTGACAGCAGTGATCTAAGAACGTAGGGTCCCATTTCAAAGAAACGTGGGGTGTTTTGTTATGTTCCTTTTTATTTCAATTGAAATACTACAGTCTTTCTAGGAAGAAAATCTATGTACTATCTTGCATCCTGATTCTGGAGGATATGGGTGTTAAAGCATTTTGGATTAACATTTAATTCCTTCACAAAAGCAGAATGCTTTAAAATTATTTAATAATTATTTTAAAACTATTTTAATAAGAAACATAATTAAAAATCAGTGCAACTCCAAGCATGATAGGACACATTACGAAGAGCCAGAAATGGATTCTCAGCTGTAGCTTGTTCCATTGTCAGGTTTAGGCACAGGAGCCTTATCGGTTGGGTTTGTTCTGGTTGACTTTCAGCCCGTGACACTGCTGTGCGGTGCTGCCATGGGGCGTCCTCTAATCGAGTGCCACATACAGCAACGACCACGTCATCGACCGATTTACAGATTGGGCATCTCTTACTCCTTACAACCATCAACTGTCTTTAAAGAATCCCTGAAGAAGTTAAAACATGAAGGTTATACCCCTTTTGTCAGATTATGACATAGAGGAAGACGCATCAGTTGAAAAGCTGCAGTTTTCTACAGCTTCTTTTTTGTTGTTGCTTTTTTTTTTTTTTTTTAACAGTTTTAGCATTCTTAACCTTCAACAGCAGATGATGCAGAAATTAGAAGTAAGTATAATTAACTGTTAGCAACATGTATTTTCTTTCCCTCCTGACTTGCAAACACGGAGGTATCACAAAAAATAATAATTTGTCATACTAAATTTCTTATGTGGGCTCCACACTTGTACATTACCATGTCACTGTAACACATACTTTTGGCATCAAGTAAGCGATATTGCCGTAACCTGGAGACTTCCATGCAGCGCTGTGAAGCAAGGAACTTCTTGTTCCTGCAGTTTCCTTCGCTTAGCTATGGCTCTGGCCTGTCTTACTATGCAGCTTCTTCCTGATTCATCTTCTGAGCTTACAAAATACAAGATAAAAATAGATTATTGTTCTATCTAAATTCCCCTAATCCTTGTGCTCATTAAAAATAAAGTCATGTAACTGTTCTTAGTCAGGATCGCACTAATTAGTGCAATTGGCACTTCTGACCTTGTGATACCTACCCTTAATACACTCAGGTTTGCTGTGCTGCCTGCATTACCATAGACAGCATATATAATACCTTCTTTCACACCAAAGTGCTGGGGAGATACATGCAAACTCCAAAATAAAGGTCAGGAGATTTTTGCATAGTAATATGTGTTTTTTCCACATCCTCACCCTTTGGCTTAGCTGAATATTTTGGATTTATTTTCATATAATAAATTAAAGGACCACAGATAAAATTCAGAAGCCAACTTTTCATAGATCCTTTAGGGAGACAGAGCTGTTGCCCAGAGAGCTCTCAACCAGTGGCTCTGGTTCAGGGTAACAGCATGTTGGTTTCTATAAACAATTGCTTGGGTTTCAGAGATTTCAGGGAGATACCAGCAGAAGCTTATTACGCTTGACCTCATCTGAGTGTTGTTTTTTGTTTGTTTGGTTGGTTGGGTTTTTTTTGTTTGTTTTTTTAAAGACAGACAGACTAGGATGAAGGAAGTAAATTCACCGTTTGCTCACTTTACAGAACAGCTTTATCTTTTTAGTCTTCTTCACTATGCAGTAAAATTAAATGTGTGTATTTTTGTGCAGGAAATTAAAAACTATTTGCAGTAGATTTTTTTTTGCTGTAGCTGCTAACATTATTTACTGTTTGATTTATAGATGTTTCACTGGAGCCAGAAAATCACTAACAGTAAATCCATTAATAAATCTAATCCTCTCGCCGTCAAGCTGTATTTAAATAAGTATCTAACTAAATCATACTGATAGAACAATCAATTCTCTGAATGTTATAATAAAAAGCAAAAGGAACTTAACTATGCAGGTGCTGGATCTATCAGAATGAGAACAGAAATTTAAATAGTTCAGAGAAATCCTCAGTCATGGTAGGCTGACAGAGGTATATAAAACCAGGAAAAATAGAGAAAGAAAGCTACATCAAGGGTTTTTTTTTCCTTTAAACCTCTCGTAACACAAGAGGGAAGGAACAACCAATGCAAAACCAGAACATTTATAATGAATTAAGCTTTTTCTGAAAAAGTGGACTTTTGAAAGAGCTTGTAAGCGGCCTGCAGGACTCATTAACCTCCACAAGCTCAAAAGTGTATCAGGACAACAAAACAAAACCAAACCAACACTGAGGTAGCAAACTAAACAGAAAAAATAGGGATATACATTTTGGTGGGCCAGGACATAAGCCAGCTTCTAATGGAGGGGTTAGCAAGAAAATTCCTATATATAGCAAGGTTATTCGATACTTGTCCATGCCAGGGATCCTTACAATTTACCCTGAGGCACTTGTCCTGGCTATTCTGGGTGTGAGGATAATGGCTCAGATGTAGCTGGGGCCTGATTCTCTATGCAGCTCCTGTCATCTGGGTTTACATAATAAAGGAAGGTATTTTAATAGTTATGCCAAATATGAAAATTACTGCGTAGTCTGAAAAATTAGTATTTGTTGCTATTTCTTGCAGAATCAGGGTCTTTGTAAGCCTAGAGCAGAGAACAGAAAGAACTGGACATCTAGCTACTGATAAAATTCTAGGTTCCACAGACGTTCAGGCCAAAACCCATCATGAGAATTATTTAGTCTGGTTACCTGCATAACATAGGTCACAACCTCCCACTGTGTAGGCTAAACAGTACCTACTTCTGTTTCAGCGCTCTAATAAAATATTTAAGACAACAGTTTTGATTTCAAGACTTGAGGGATGGAGAACCAGATGCATACCCAAGTTGAGGCTTTCCCCACTTCCTCATCTGAGCTCAGCTACGTCCTGCACTGAACTGCTGCATCGTAAATCTTCTCTTCCAGACTGGAGTCCATGACTGACAGTGCCTGCCAAGTACTTGTACGTAACAGAATTGTATTTTACTTACCTTTGAATAAACTAAACAGACTAGACTTTATTCTTTTATTTAAATATGTTTTTCCAGATTACCTTTGTAGCTTTAATTAGCTCTGTCTGGGATGTTTTAGGGGTTGGGTTGTTACAGCTTCATTTTGTGTGTGTGTGGGGGAGAAGGTTTATTCAATGATTAATGCTAAAAATCGATCTTGATCTAGATCCTTCTCCCAGCACAACAGGGACCTGTGTAAGGGCACACAGTAGTAGGTGCTACAGGCAACCTTTGCAGACTGTCCACCCACACATGTCCTTCTGTCCACCCAGGAAACAGTTGTCTGCAAAACATACTACTGTTCTGAACGTCAGATAACAGTTATAGCGAAAACAAAAAACCACACACCACACCTTATTAGTATTATTGTAGGGCAATAGCTGGAGTAACAAAACTCCTCAGATACAACTTGACGTGACAATAGAATCAATACTCAATATTGGAATAAACAGAAGTGGGAGAAAATTTATTTACCAGAAATTAATCCAGCACTGGTTAATCAACATTGTTTCAGCAAATATTACTGTAGGCTTAGTTTTAAGATTCTACTGGTCTATTAAAGTAGTATTTACACTTATTTTTGTCATCAGCTTTAGCTAAGAAACTTCCTGGAAAAACAACCCCACCCTAATTATAGCATACGAGGTTCCACTCTGAAGGCTCTTAAAATTGTGCTTGCAAGTGTGGGCCCAGTTAAGCCACTGGCTGTGGTGTAACAGAGCAAAACACTGCACATAAAACGTTCCGCTACTTTTACTGGCTGCAAGGCAGCATTTAGTCAAAGCAGTGGCAAAAAAGCCCCCAAGCCATCAATTCTCTTCTACGGATTTTACGTTTGCCATTTTTAATGCAGGAAAATTACCGTCTCGTCCAGTGGAGGGAGTTTTCTTTCTGTTTCAGAAGGATGCGTAACATCTTGTGCTCTTCAGGACAGAGATGCAGGAGGACAGCCCCTACCTACGAGGTCTAGGTTCCTCCCCTGCAAACACCTGCTGATGAGGAAGACCCAAAGCATCAGCCTAAGAGAAACACAAAGATGAAGGAACACAACAAGAACAACAGCAAAAGCATCTTCAGTGTTTTGAAGTGTGGAAGGAAAAGAAAAGCCAGCAGCTTCACCCTGGGGAACGCACGGGCAGGCTGGGGGTTTCCCAGTGCCGCTGTACCCGTCACCCCCTCCTCAGGAAAAGAGATGTGTGCAAGAAAAAGGGACCAGGCTTGCTGACTGGGCTTGCGGGTGGTAGGCAAGGGTGTGACAGAAGTTAATCAGCAGGAGTGTTGAACATCATTGCATCTGAATCAAAGTTCCAGCTTCTAACCTCTGGTGCGATAGAGTCTGCTGCTTCTGAGGGGAGTGCCAGTGGGTGAAGGGGAACGAGTCTAACCTCAAAACCAACCAAGATCGTGTGGCAAGGGAAAAAAAAGAAGTTCCAGAGTGTAGCAAGCAGGTGTGTTAGAGCACCACAGCTCAGAGCTGGGAGTGTGCAGTTCCACCAACGACAAGATGGCTGGAAGGAGGAGTGAGCAGCCAGCCACCCTCAGAGGTGAAGAGAACCTTGCAAGGGGACTGCGCTGCATTCACTTCAACTCAAAGCCATGCTCATCCTAAGAACAAGGACACTGTGGGGAGAGAAAGACTGGCTTAGAAACTCTTTCATCTTGTCTAACCATTTTGAGTCAATATTCAATATATGGTCTCACTCGTGTTCCAGACAGAAATCCTACTGCCCTCTGCTCCTACTTGATCTATCTGCTCAGAGGGTCAAATCTGCCCTTTTATTTTATCTCTGCCTTTATTCACAGTGGAAACTCATATGCAGCCATCAGCTGCCCAAGTCTTTCAACTCTTTCCAGTGTCAGTGTCTTCTAGAATAATTTATCTTCCCGACAGACATCCATTCCTTGTGGCTAGATGACCTTCCCTTTGCTTGCTGTCAAACACACCCTTTACTAAGTGATGTGGGTTACTCAGTGCCTTGTCTTCATAAATAACAAATGGGTATAATAAAAAAATTATATTTTATTTCATAGCATTTATGAAAATATTGTACACTGTTGAACAGATTTGCAGAATTATACAAGTTAACTGCAAATGGAAAATTTTCTCTTCAAAAGCAATTTAATTTAAATTGACCTTTTGTAGTTTTTCTCCTTCAGATTCTCAAGTGAGATTACAAAACCTCAACATTTTGTCACACAATAATCTGCTGCCTTTGCCATCTCATCAAGCTTAGTCTTGTTGTTTTGCTTAGCAAGCCCATTGTTGCTTCTTCCCAAAGCCATGCTGATGGGCCTTACTGAGGTTAGCTTATTATTTACTCATTGCATAGACTTAGAGTTTGATCGTATTTATTAGTCACAACATCCACTTTTTTGGAACTTTCCCAATTTTCCAAGGTAAACTTACAAATCTGTACACCACGATCCAGTGAGCTCTTTGCCATCTTTAATGCTCACAGAACAACTATCCATTCTTGTCAGCCTTTAATACTTGTGCGGTCATTTACAACAAATGCTACTAATTTTAAGACCAAATATAAGCAGCCTTCATTCAGCTGCCCTAGATGCTAGTGCTAGCTGCTCTGCATTTCCTGATGTTATCACGTCTCCAACCTCAGAGAAGTCTTAATCAAACCAACCGCCTGACGGTACAAAACCAGACTGACATTAGAAGGGACAACCGAGTGAAGAGACCTCTTCTTTATTCCGCAGAGAACCTAAGGACAAATGGGAAATTTAAGTACTAACGGATTCTAGCTATCTAACGATACTAACAAGAAAGCCTTTTTTTCAGGAGGAAATACTGTGATCTCAACAGTAAAGAAAAGGTAACTACAGCACCTAACACGTCTGACCAGCTCAGGTGCCCGTTTTTGCCCACCCCTCAGGCTCTGGGTCTGCTGCGAGCCCCGTTCTTACAGCCCTGCCCATCACTCCACAACTTCTTGTAAAGGAAGCTGCCCATTTACAGTCAGCCAGAAAGTTAGGTACTCCCCCTGCGTGCCCCATGGGCTGAGCGTGCTATTTTACAGTATAATGGAAGCTCAGAGCCGCTCTCAGAGAGGTGGGAGGAGGAGGGAGAGAAACACCAGGAACGGGAATGTAACAGCAGCAGGTCCCTGGGCCCTGAGCTAACCTGCAGCAAGCCTGTCAGCACCTTTCACAAGGTGCTTTTATTTGTGGTTTTTAATCAAGAAGATCTGTTTCTTTGTAAACAGGAGTGAGCACACATGACATTTATATACCTTCTTTATTTGCTGCCTCAGATGAAATTAGTGCTATTTAAAAATGCAGAGCATCCTTTCAGAAGAGCTGTGACAGGTATCAGAAGAGTAAAAATACAAGATAGAGTCCTGAGAGATAAAAATTTATTTATATCTGATCAGCATGTCATGACATGGTCACAATTCATACAGCTGACATTCTCATAGCCAAAAGAGGGATGTGTTTTCTTTTTAAAAATACAGTTTTCTTTCAGGCAGGAAGGATTTTTTAAAACAAACATTTCATACTAGGCAGGAATTAAAAACAATGGCTTTTTCAATGACAACACGGCTGGTAAGCACTGGATCCCCCACCAGTGTCTCGAGATTCAGATTTCAAGTCTTCCCTCCCACTTGCTCCCTCCCCCTCCCCATTTCCCCCCCACCCTTCACAGAAAAACACCACACAGAAAAACAAGACAAAACCCAGAAGGGAAACAAAGAGGTAGATGTAACTACAACCATGGCGCTGTTTTGGAAATTGTGCAGGATGTCTTACTATGCTCCAAGGAGTTCCCTTTTCCATTGTTCTGCGTCGCAGGATTACAGCCCAGCAGTTAACACGAAAGGCGCCACGGAGCCAAGAGCCACGGTCAGCGAGAGATGCCGGGGCCACGGAACGGACGGCGCTGTCCCACTCGGTATTGCTTTGCCGAGCTGAAGTCGTTTAGAGACAGACCACTCTGCTAAAAATTACACCTATCTACAAAACGATTACAGCCTCGCTCGCAGAAAGGCTGGATCCACATCCTTCCAGGATGGTGGCAATCCAGGCTCGACAGGGTTCCAGCTCCTGCTGCACCCTCAGCTCTCAGAAACGCGAAGGGGACTCATTGCTGCGCAGCGACCTGCGGAGAAACTCTGCGGGCTGAGCGCCAGCACGGCTCCCCGCGGGGACGGGGGCGAGGGGGGCTGCGGGAGCTGCCTTCCCCCCAACTCCCTCCGGCTCCACTCCTCCCCTCACCGCTTCTGCCATAGGGACAGCGGTCTCCGTGTCCTTCCCGATGAGCGCTCACATCAGCAACGTAATTATTACGAGGTAACACCAACGCTGTAGAGTGAACCGAGGTGTTACTTTGTCGTGTTTCAGGCAAGCACAACAGAGACTGCGTATCTATTAGATATGAGCGCAATAAATACAACCAAAGAAAACCACCTCAGCTATTAAGGATTAGAAGCACGTGAAATAATCTTGAAAAAAATTAACTTTATTTTTGCCACACAAAAAAAAAATAATGGGAAAAGACACCTAATCATCTCTGTGGAGAAATGCGGCTTCTGGAACCTGTCTACATTTCTGAAAGACATCTCGGCTGCTGGAAAGATTTGATTAAAAAATCCAACAAAATAAATTCAGTATAATAATTCCAAACATGACCAGCCCCTTGCAAAATCACTGAGAGTCCCTACAGGCTTCTGCATCCATTTCATCATACAAAACAAAAATGCAGGTAACACAGGAGAGATGGAAAAAACTGGAGGTGAAAATAACTGGTATCAAGAAAACTGATTTTTATCATACAAAATGAACACCACTGTAGAGTAATTTTAAGGAAATAGCTCACTTTAATAGGATAGTTGTTCAGTGAATAATTACTTCATTATCCAATGACAAAAGAAAAGGTTTAACTTTAAAATGCACAGAACCCTTTCAAAGACTTCTTTTGTATCACAGCCAGGTAGTCTACAGTTTTTACAGAGAAAAAATAAAGCTCCTGAGAAGTGTTCATAATGTATGCAGACATTTTAAACCAGAGTACAGTTTCAATTTTGCTCTTCCAATTGTTCTGCTTTTAAAAAAAGTGTAAAAACTATCAAATATGCAATTTTGCAAAATAACCCTTTATTTCATATGGCTCCGTTATTTCCAAACAATACAGTATCCCAGACGTGTAATTATTTTGTGTGATTGTATTAAGATCACCACAAAATCTCCAGCTGACTATCAAGAGAACGCAGCCAACCCCTGTCACATGGTTTGGAAATCCCAGTTGTAAGTACCTTTGGTCCCAAAAATTATGTCAAGGCAAAGAGGAGCAGTTGAATCCTGTCACACACAGTGATCGGTATCTGCATTATCTTGTACAAAGAGGTGAAAGAAGTTAACAGCACTTTATGGCAGTGTCAGACAAAAAAAAAAGTTACATCCTTTGCAAAACAAGTGAATAATGAACAGTACCCACAGTAATCATCGTATTTTTACTGCAATTAGATGCATCTTAGTTTTGATGCTGGGGGTGGAGGAAGGAGAAGGAAGCTTTTAATTTTCCAGTGAGCACAGTGAACTGAAATCTTGCTTTTCAAAATCTGGCGAGAGCAACTAAGAAAAAAAAAAAAAAAAAAAAAAAAATCCCTCCTGCAAGAGACACGGTTGTTGCACCACCCGGTCAGACCCGTACGCAGCAGACCAGAGAGCCGGCGGGGAAGGCGCGCTCGGCAGCCGGCTCCCAGGGAAGCGGCGCTCCTCGCGAAGGGGCAGGAACGCTTCCTGCACCCCTCGGCACCCGAGGAGCGTCGTGCCGGGCCGCGAGGGCCCACAGCGGTGCAGCTGTACCGGCTTGTTTATGAACAGCCAAACACAGAAACGTACAGATGTTCTGTGTGCAGCCCCGGCAGGGAACCATCTCTATTCACAACACACTGCAATTGCCACGTGCTCACGTCTGTGCGCAACAGCTTTCAGGTGGCGGTTCTTCTGTGGATTTCTCATTCTTTATCACTTTATACAGTCTTCCATTATGCTTCCCCTAACATATATTCAAAGTTCTATTAATTAACCATTTTGAGATTAACTGTACGGCTCATGAACATCGTTTTCTACCAAATGTAGTTTGAACTCTTCAGAAGAGGAGGCGCCTGGAGGGCGCAGCAGGATGCCCACTACATCCGTGACACCAGCCAACTGCCAGAGGCCAGAACCAAACTGCAACCGACAGGAATTTACATTTTACAAACTAGCCCGCTAAGCTCCAAACAGTCTGGACCAGCACGGTATTTTTAGCACTGGACTTCCTACCTACTGTATCCATTTTATGTTCTTCCCTTAATAGAAAAAACCTCTTTTATCCAATTTATTCTCTTTCATGAAGCAGCATCCAAGTTCACGCTGGGAGGGCACTCTGGAGTTTCCTAACAACGGTTTCATTCCGCTGTCATCTACAGCAACTCAGCCGTAAGGAGACACAACGTCAGGCTCCCTTCACATCTCCCAGTGCAGGCAGGCAAGAAGCCTAAGACCTAGTACTATTTACTCACCCTACGGAAACAACAATCAGTGCTTGCAAACAAATGTCTCACAATAGTAGGAACTACAGAGGAACAAACTGAAAATGAACAGGACCAGATAAATCAAATGATTATCTGAAACATTATTGCGCATCACCTATTTCTTTAGGCAGCATGTGAACACTCACTACTGACTGCAATCCACTGGAAAAAAAACCCAAACCCCTGCATTTGGAAAAAACAAATATGCTCCTACACGGACTTCACAGGGTCTATAAAGAACAATCTCCTGATGTGAGTTACTGCTGTGCAATCTGCTTCTATCAACTTCCCTTTTTATAGCACTCCTGCCTGTCCTAGCTCAAACTAAAACCAGCTGCACTTTGGGCATCTCCGTGGGTCTGATCGAACCACCTGGTGGGGGACAGAAATAAGTAGCTTGCCATCTACATTTTGCAGTTTTGAGGGGCTGCCTACGCCCACGTGCAGCAGACATAACCGCTGACACGGAAACCACGCCGGGCTGCCCTGACACCCTCCTGTAAAATGGCAGATGAAATACGTCCGTCCATTCCAGCAGCTGCACTTTAGCAACAGCAACAGGAAAAAAAACAACCCCAACACTCCTGAGACTGCCTCCCTCTCAGGGCAAACCTCTTTTTAAATGGCTTTAATGTTATGCCAGACTTCAGCTGTATGATGGGGGTAAAGAGCTGGGCTCCAGAAACGGTGCCTTACGTAGAAGGTGGAGCTGGCGGCAAACACCGCTCCCGCCCCCAGCTGCAGCCCGTCTTTTCAGTCAACGAGGGGGGACTCCTGGTTCAGGGGAATTTACTATGGTGGAACGTTTTGCTGCCATCCCCACTGAGCTACCTCAGGAGAAAACTACTGCTTTTGGGGGGATAAGGGTGGCATATTTGACTCAGGTATTCTTCTATATGTCAGAGAAACTGGCACTGCCTCGTATTTTGGTACGCTCTTAGCTCCTGCCCAAAGAGCACGCTGGCTAGGTTCTGTGTTCTGCACAGCCCCCGCTGGGATTCATGTAGCAGGAGAGGGAGAGAAAAGGGGGGATCAATATTGCTAACGCAGAGCCAAAACTGTGGAGGGCTTGCTTTGTTCTCAGTAGAATTACTCTGTAAAAGGCAGCATGCCAACATCTGAAGTTCTGGCTCTCCTGCTTATATTTAGAGAGATTAGTTTTATTTTAGGAACAGCTCTCTCAAATCTGCGTATAATCACATAAACACAATGCCAACAAGACCTGCCAGAATTAAGTCCGTACATCACTGACGGCCTTTCAGAAGTGTCCTACGTTACACATCTGAAAGTGTCTTCTGTTCCAGTTTGCCTTTAAATGCAACTCATCCTTCTTCCGGTAGGATTTTAGCATGGTGGTGAGCTAATAAACACTGCCCTCCATGTAGTTAATTCAGAGTATTTACCAGATTTATTTCTTTTTTTCTTTTTTTTTTTTTGCAGTAGTATCTTTGTATAAATTTATGATAGGAATTATACCTATTTTTTCTTTTTAAGAAACTCGTTTTTCTTCTGTTATTCCTTAGCAAAACATTAAGATGGTTGGCATTGAATTACTTAAACTCTCCCACGAGTATATTTAGCGCCGTTGCCACTAGCGGGGGAGAAAAAGGCCTCTATAAACCACTCAAAGGTCACCCTGGTTGGACTGCAGTATACAAAATATGAAGGTGGCTAAAAATCACCAGCAGCACCAGCAGACCTTCAGAAACAGCTAGAATTGCTCTGGCTTCCAACACATGACAAATAAAGCTTTTCCCTATTCCCTAAGTTTTATGTCTTTCCTTCACTGTACTTCCACCTTTCAAAGTGCATTTTGAAAACTGATAATGCTCGTTGAGATGCATTCCGAACAACAAAGGCAAATAAACCAAGTGACTTTGTATTTTCCAAGTTTCCTCATAATACGAGACACTGGCAGGACATGGAATTCGGAGCGCTGATGGTAAGACCACAGCAGGGATGGGCTGACTGATCAGACGCGGACAGCTTTTAGTCACACTACGATGCCGCGATGCTTTTTTTGAGGACGGAGTCCTCACGAAACACACCTGATGCTGGATCTTACTTGGGTCTTGGTTTTACATCAATGTGTCTAATACAACAACTGCTGACTGCGTAGCCGCACAGATACCGCCACTGGCTCTGTCGAGTCTCTCTGACTCCAGCACAATGGGTTGCAATAAAGTACAAGTTGTGCAAATGAGGAACCTCTACCACACCAATGCTGTACAGACTACTGAAAAGACAAGTTGCTGAATTTTCTGAGCTAACTACAATGCCAAGAAATACTTGTGGTGACAGAGCTTTCTTGTCACAGACATTCTTCTATGGCGGTTGTACGATTGCACCTTTTTGTCCAAAATGCTGAATTTTCTTAAGTGTGGGTGAGAGTATACATTTTTAAAAATACAGACAATTCTTAAAATAATACATCATCAGGTCACTATGTTACTCATCTTCACTTTTAGTGGAGTTTAAAATTTCCCCAAAGAGAGGTAAGAGTCCGTCCAGTATTTTCCTTTACCTTTGAATATTCACATTTGCACACACAACATGATACTCGTTTGCAAGAGCGTGGATTCCCATTGTGTCCTCAGGTCCCATTCCACTTTTAAAATAGGCAATGATAAAAATACTGAAAGATGCAGTACCACATACCGCCTGACAAAAATGCAAGTGATTGTATGCCGACTAGCCACAGGTTACTGAGGGTCATCTCCCGAGAAATAGCTTTTGTTTGACCCTGCAGTGGAGGAAAAGCTCCTAAAAAAGAAAAGAAAACACATTTAGTACTTCTGCAGCAGGAACGATGGCCTTACCACACGATTCTTTACCATCACTGTTTGTCCCAGCAACAGTGCCCACAAGGAATTAATTGGTTACTTCTGTATTATGCCGTTCAACTTGCTAAAGATTCTCTGGCATTATCAGTTATCGTCAACAACAAAAAAAAAAAAAAAAAAAAAAAAACCAAAACCCAAAAAACAACAACAAAAAACCAAAAACAAAACGAACAAACAAACAAACAAAAAAACAAAAACACAAACCACAAAAACCAGAACACCCCCCCCACCTACTTATCCTAATTATTAAGAACAATTTTAATTTCATTTGGATATAAACTTTAAGCATAAACTTCAAAGCATTCCTTAAAAGCAGCTATCTTCATTGTATTCAACCTTTGCAGGGAGATGTGACTGTCAACTAAGTTTTCTGTGTTATTTTTGTTTGAAGTTTTATTGACATCTGTATGATCAAATTGAATGGAATCCACATTAAACTTTACAGCTGCTTGGTAATGATTTTGTATATTGTGAAGAAACAACACACACACATTCTCAAGGTTCCTCCTGAAAATATAAATATACACACACACTTTTTTTTTTTTTTAAAATAAACTACAACAGTTTCTACATGTTGTTTACACATTCACGGCCAGTCTGTTATATAAGACTAAGGAAATATTGTAATTTGTCACACACTTTTCCAGACTGATTTTACTGAAATGCCTGTTTAGATGAGAAAGACTGACAGAAGACACAGCTGACAATTAAAAAAGTAATTTGTCCCTATTTTGACTTTTTCTGACTCACAGCACTAAATTAAATGTGTCTGAATACATCAGAGCTTTATGATCATAAGGAAATTGTTTGCATATATTTACACCAGCACATTAAATAATTTGTGTTACGTTTTACTGGGATGCACAAAGCCTAGATGATGGGAACCACTTTTGTTGTTGTTAATCCTGAACAGTGGACATAAAAAACTCTAAATGTACCAGAGAAGACGATGTACTTGCTGCAGCATTACAGAGCCTCAACTACTCAGAACAACAGGAGATGAATGATTCAAAGAGGAAAGATGTAGCAGTGTCAATTTTTAATCTTAGAAACCACACAATTTGGGCAATTAGATTCCATCAGCAGCTTCACATTTGCAATCACCGGAGGAATTGCAATCAAGCAATGAAGACAAAGCTTCTTCCTGTATGAATGCTCTTAAATAACAAACAAACAAAAAAAAATCCTCCTCTCACCCATACGTATTTTCACACATGGGCAGGTTTGCCACACCATTTATTCCCCAGTAATTCTCACTGCTAAGCTTCTATTTGTCCAGTCCATGCTACACTTGTTCTTCCATGGCCCACTTCTTTTTCTGTACTAACACTGACCTTTGGTTTAAGTAACCTTCCTTCTTCCTTGGTACAGACAGCAACTGTCTCTTCCCGCTCTCCCAAGCCAACCTGTACCTCAGAAAGAAAACGATCCTTCACCTTCCTAGCTGAGCCAAGCCAAGCACTTTTAATTGTCCTTCACAGAAATGACTCCTCCTTCCCCTTAATCATCTTAGCACCTACTGTCTGTCCCTCTTCCCCACTGAAGTCACGTTTCTTGAACGCGGATGATGGACCCGTAGGCAGAAGTTCCAGATGAAGTTTCAGATTTGGTACAAGGAAGAGTGTTTCCGTAGCACTGGTGAAAACCCTCTCCTGTTGCCCTGTAGGATGACATGGCTGACATTTTACTTACATCACACCAGCTGGCTCATGATAAAAGTGAGTGAGGAGCATGACGACTTCAGTATACAATTAATCCTTTCCAACTGATAAGCTCCTAGTTTACAGTTTTTTAAAAATTTATCTCCAAGGGCTTTTGTCCTGATAAATGTCATCTCCTTTGTGTTACTGCAGTGTTCAAGGTTATCCTGCTGAAGACTTCAGAGAAATCCTGAACTTGCCAATACAAGCTTTCCACTAGCTGCTAAAATAGGAGTCTGTGGGTCGCTTATACCTACAGATGTTAACTGTAAGTGGTTTTAATTTTATAAATGAAATGTGTAAAATGTACCTTTAAGAAAGGATGGGACAGTATCATATTCAAATTTTAGGCAGATACTTTTTTTTGTTTAATTTTAAGATGCCTAACTTTTTTTTTTACCCAGATCAGTTAAAGTTTTAACACTTGCGAATATAGCAGAAAGGAAAGAGGTGTTTCATGCTTTGTTTCTTCCTCCTCAAAAATATGCCAAAAGAATGCATTCCTACCGATATCGTCAATGCAAACTTTTAAAGTTTCACATAGCATGAAATGTTACTCCAGCCTTAGGAAGTAAGCTTTATGAACTGAGGTAAGTTCCTAAGCAGTGTGTATTTAAAAACAAACAAAACCAAAAAAACCCCCAAATGCTCAAGCAGCCTTAGTGAAAAACACACCAACTTGAGACAATGTAACACATCAATACAAAGCCAGCTTTTGAGCAGCTCCAGGGATTCCTCTCACATTAGGCCTCAGGACTTTTCCAGGGGGTTTCCAAAAACTTTAGCAGCACTTTTGCAGTAGTTCTCAACTGGCATAAATAGTAGTAACTTTAAATTATGCTAATTTATGCCTAATAAGGTCCTATGTCATAGCATTTACATTTAAAACATCTTATTAATTCATACTGATTACACTGGCAAATTATAACCAATTATCCTATTTTGGAAGTTCATTTCAAAGAATAAATCTCATTATATTCATTATACTCTCTGAAATTCTGGTCTAGTTAGATTTTTGAGTACGACTTATTTTAATGATATTTGTGAAATAATGTCTCAACAACAGTAATTCCTTACCTTCTATTCACTACACGTGCAGTTTTAAACAGATTCATGAAGCTATTTGCCTAATAAAGACCGATACATGTGTTTGGATGCAATTTAGATAGCACATCCCAACATTTGCCACCAATAATGGCTGAGTGACAGCAGTATTTCATACAGCAAAATACGTTTACAGGATGTAACTTGTTACTCTGTAACTCTTGTTACAAGATTCTACTAGTCTTTTTAAGCACTACAACTGAAAAATTAAGCACTTAAAATTGAATTAAAGCAGTGTTTGCAGTAAATCATCTAACAGAAGTACTGTCTTTGTTCAGCACAGTCATTCTGGAATGTTAAACTCAGTTGATTCAAGAGACTGAATGTTTTTCCGCCTTCAACAACTGTGATACTTGCTAATGAAGAGATGATTTTTCTTCAGAGACAAGTTGCATTATTTCATCTGGAGTCTTCCTACTCAGTCTGCGTTTGATAAACTTCCTCTCCTGTACGTCAAAATAAAACTCTATTTTTTCCTCTCTGGATTTTCTTTTTTATTCTGATGAATTCTTCTGTTTTGCATTCTGAGCACACGCACAGACACACACACACACACCTGCTGGAGGGGGAATGACATACTTCAGTACCAAGTGGATGGAAAAAGAGCCCTGAGGAAACACTTCTCCAGCTATAGTTTCAAAGTACCTACTTGATATTTTAAATCACGTTTTCCAGTCTCCCTTCAGTAATTGTATTAATGCCCTAAGTTTATTCAGAGTCCTCTGATCCATTAACACCGAAAGCGTATTCTGGTAACAGCGATCCTCAGCGCCCTGCAGCAGGGGGCCAGCACTGACAGCACAGGGCTCCCGGTCAAGACTCCAGAGACTTTACGCTATGAAACTCCTACAGATCCATCCACTCAGAGCATCCTTCTGCTCAGCCTAGCAGGCAACAGAGGAGGGCTATGGTTTTGGATTAGACCTGCTGACTACTTAGCTCAGTTTTCTCTAACAGTACAAGTGCCAGAGGAACATGCTAAATAGCCGCGCTAAGCAGATAAAATAACCTGCCTTGCATAAGACTCCCGTAAGTGGCCTATTTAATCCCTTTTAGTCAAGAACTTGCTCATTTTAAACCCCCAAGGTTTTCTATCCCCTCCAAACTTAAGCTCTGAATACTTTTACTATGCATGTAAATGTTCGCTACCTCTTTGCATCTCGCCAAATTATTCCACTATATGAAACCCCATGGCAGCAAGTTTCACAGCTGAAATATATGTTACTGCAGAAGAAAAGAGGATTTCCTTCAACACATTTGGAATGTGCCAGCTTCCAAACACTACCCTATTCTAATGTTACCCACGTGATTTACCTTTCCCAAGTCATTTTTTATCATACTTTTTGCCACATAACAATTAGATCTACTGTATTCACGTGAAGAATGCATAAGAGTTCTTCAACCTTTTCGAGATCCTTGTGAGGAAAGATACTAACAAAGCACAGTTCTCTCTGCTAGGTATCATCCTACCTGTTTCATAGAAATGTGTCAAGAGATCTTCCTTTTCAATGAATCGTTGATACAGCCAGTCTGTAAGAGCTTCAGGCTCTGCAGGTAAATCTTTAACTGGAAAAATCCTACCAAAGAAACAAACGTAAATTAAACCTAGGAAATGCATTCTGTACGAGATGAACAGAACCCTTTCCTTCTGCCCCAGTCCACCCCAAAACACAGATCTGCACCAAGCTCTTGTTCTCTACCTGCACGGTTTGTTCTCTCTCCGATTCACAGGTCACACAGGTATTAAGGATACAAAGCTGGAATATTCCAGGTTACCAGCCAGATGCACACAGCAGATAACGGCATTATGAGCTTCTATCGAATGCTGTACTATGGCATTTGATAAAAGCTACTAAGTTGCTGAGGTCTTTTTAAATAGAATATCATCACACTGTGTTACTATCCTTAAAAAAATACAAACCACAAAGCAATGAAGTTCATACACTGAAGCAGAATGAAATAGAAGACTGAGAAGGTTCATCCACGGTTTTGAGGAAACAGTTTGTCAACAGGCAGAAGCCATGTAATGATACCACTATGTACCAACAGCTCTTCTGTATCCCAGAAAACGAGTCCTCTGTGCTTTTCAAAGGATGCCAGCATCTTTGTCTGAAATTTCTAAGGCAGGTTTTACACTGAAACTGACCATGTAAGTAAGTGCACTCAAATATTGCTGTTCTATTTTAAAAACCCCAATGGTTTGGTACTTCGACACTGAATACTATGTCTACTTAGAAAATGAGATATCCAGGGCAGAGTTCACTGAGATACATACACACAGAAACCCCCAAATAACCTACCATACCTTGCTGAATTGTTTTCAAAATAGAATTTTGAGTCTTACAGTAATTGTGAAATCTCCTCAATAGACCTGAAGTGCTTTTTGATATACACAAGAACTTACACGTCCACTATGTTTCACTGGGAGGCCAACGCAGAAGAGATTTGTGTATCAGGCTACCCTAAAAAATTCATACTCTGAAATGCAAGACATGTACTGTAGGTTTCTCTAAATGGGTGAGCTCCCATTTACCCTCTCATCTACGCCATGTTTCTATTTTCATTAGTGGATTTTTCATTTCATTTAATTTTCCACACAGTCTTGATCATACTGAAAAGAATTTAAAGTAACACCACAATCATGTAGGCAGCGTCTGACCAGATACGGGAATGCCAGACTACAGAAATAAGACACTTCTGAAGAATGCTTTTGTTGCTGTAACTGTTTTCAACATCTTTGTTTGCTTTGCTGCCAAGTCATTTATATCTCCTCTTTTCAGTTTGATGCACAGAAAAATAAGCTGTAAGTGGAGGAGGAAAAGCAGCAAAGCATTGCTCTAACGAGTGAATTAAAAATAATGGTATACAGAGATAACTCCAGTATCATAGAAACAGAATATCTCAACTTGGAAGGGACCCACAAGGATCATGGAGTCCAGCTCCCAGCTTACACTCACATAAACATCAGTGTGGACAACTTGAACTCACAGCAGATCCCTGGTTGCCAAATACATCTGCCCGCAATTAGGCCCAAGAGGTACATGAAGATAGACAGACTGACGGACAGACAACAATGAACAATTTTATTTACCAACTGTGGCATCAACACGAACTCAGATACTTCTGTAGCCCTTCTACCTACATCTTTCTTACACCGCAGAGTTCTCTGTAGTAAAGCCAGTCTCAGTAACCAGAAATTAGCAACTGTTCTCTCAGGTAAAATGCACTTTGAAGAAAAGTCTCTGGCCAAAGACAAATATTATGGAAGAGTTGGTGGCCCAGTAAATAGCTCAAGTCCTCAGCGTGCATATTAAGAACAATGACAAAGACAGGTAATAAGGAGCTATTTCATCTTAAAGCCCAGATGTTGTACAGCAGATTAAAATTAATCCACATACAGGCAAGTAAAAAAACACACCCACAGAAAGGACCTTTTTTGTTGAGGGTATAACACTAAAACAGACTTACTCTCTGTCCTCAAAAACAACTGAGCCGCCAAGCGCTATTTTTACTCTCTTCTGCCTATCTGCTGTGAAGAGATAAAAAGACTCAGCAACTGAATACTGTGTTTCACAGTATATTTTTGAAGGACAGATGATCGCCTACACAAGTTTGAAGATGGTTCAGAACTAACAGAATGTGTGTGTGGGCTCAGGACAGAAGTCTGGGATTACCTGACTTTATACGCAGTTTCCATTGTAAACTGAAGATATTCTTCATCTCCTCCTTCACTTCTCAGTTACCTAACAGGTAACAACTAGACAGCTCAGTAACCTAGTTGAGCCTCGTATTTTTCCAAGAACGTAGCATTTAGTCTGAAAACATTATCACAAGATCTTACAAGATACTCATTAGAAACAATTTATGAGCTGGCACTTTAATGGAGTAGCAGAGTAGTGTAAGTGATACCAATATTGTGAGACACTAATGGAACACAGCGCACCACTTTCCTGCTCGAATCCATTCAGGCTCTTGTATGAACTGATTCAGTACCTGAACACTTGACACTCTGGATATAAACTCCACTTCTTAAAAAGTTTAAGCAGCAATCACCATTACACCCAGTCTGAATGAGTATTTATGCAGAATGGAAAACAACTGGTTTTCCAATAATGCTACACTGCCTGTCACAATTTAGCAATAGTAACTGCCAGTTTTCAAACGTATTTTTAGATTATCCAGTGTTATTTTTACAAGCAGAACATTCTTACTAACGACTGAGCTAAATTAGAGATGAAATGTTTAAAAAAAAAATCCTTAAGCTCTGGAAACAAACCCTCCCCATACTAGAAAAGGTGAAGCGAACGCCCCCTGTATTTACACTAAACATACTGCCAGTATTACCATTCTCTGCCCATCAGATGGCTCAGCTGGCATCTGTGTTTTAAAAGAACACCCTGTTTAAGGAGACTGGGTTCAGGAAAGGTTACTGAGAAAGTCTATTGTTACAAAACTCTCTACACAGATGATCCAAAACAACGGCGGAAAGCCATTGCTCTGACTGGAGCAGGGTCATCCCCACCCATCGGCTGCGAGGTCTGCCAGGTCTAATGATAAAAGATGCAATAAATAGTTTCTTCTTTTAAACGAGGTATGTAAACAGTTGTCAATGCGGTCACAGCACGAGCACCATTTTGGCTCTACCCCACCTTTGGGTACCCGGCATCAGGAATGCTATTATTGACTCTTTCGATAAACAGCAAGATAGAGGTTGTTGGGAGATCTCAAGCATGACCAAAAATAAGTTACCTGCATAAAAGAAGCGTATTAAATTATATTGCCAAACTGGATGCCCTCCACAGATATTTCTGCAAAACTCATTCAGCGACCACAATGTATTCCATCTTATTTATAGCTAGGAGTCTGGCTTACTTCAATAAATCTGTATCAACATAGACACAAAAAAAGAACTCCCTCAGTAGCTGAACGCGTGTTCCAACAGCAGCACCATAAAAACCTGGTACAAGAAAGAAAGGTGACATAGAACTCGGCTGCATTGTGGCACAAAGACAGCTGAGTGAGCTGGAATAGCGTGGTACCTCCATGCAGCTATGCTCTGCGCCAGCAGCGGCTACGGCTGGCGCTGACCTCAGGGCCCCCACGCCACAGTCACTATCACACAGGGCAAACGTGGGATATGGCCACACAAGGGCACGACCCAGCGGGAAGCTAACGCAGGAGAACCCCCGCCCCACGCCATTCGCGACCGAGGGAAAGCTAAACATCAGACAAACTTCATACCAAGGGTTTTTTCAACTTTCAACTCTTGGGTTTTGACAACAGAACCGCAGCACGTGGGAAATACTGCTGTTACAGAAACTTGGAGACCAGCTCAGAAACACCAAGTCAGTTAGGCTAAAGAAGTGACTGGTGTAAGAAGAAAAGAAATCATCCCCAAACTCAACTCACGGTGGGGAAAACAGTGGGAGCTGAGAATAGAAGCCAGTATGCGGTCTTGCTACACAGACACCCAGCTTATTTCTGCCGAGTGTAACTCCAGTGAAACTGGATCTATGGTCAACGCACACCAGAATTACTCAAGCATAAAGCTAAACCATTCTGAGAAGAGGAAACAAACCTTTCCAACAAACTCATTAAAAGGCGGGTCTCATAGTCATGCCTCTAGTTTGAGATGCCTTGCACCTTCCAGCCCATTTTTTTTGGTGCTTACTGCTTTAACAGATGGGTTGAGATTTCCCCAAGAAATCCTAGCACTGTTTTGACCTGGCAGACGTTAATTAGGTATTTGCCTTGAGTATTATGTTTCAGAGAGCAAACTCAGTTTCTTCAGCACTTTCCAATGAGTTTTGAGGCAAGTCTGTCAGGATCAAAAAAATATTCGATAGTTAGAAGGGTAAGTTCTCACACCTTTGTGTTTTGAAGAATCTGAAACTTGGTTAATTGTCCTTTTTTTCTAGGGAAGTTTCTTTTGACATCCTGGGGAAAATCAGGCCACAGCCTCGCCTAATTATGAACTTCTGAAAAACCTGTCATTTTTACCAAAAATTTAAGTTTGAAATCAAAGTTTGACTCATTATCAAAATTGAGCTTTCAAACAAAAAAAAGATTACTGGATTAAACTGATCCTTCTCTGCCATTTCCATCAGCTAAGAAAGCATCTAAAAATGAAAACATAAGGCTGCTTGCTGTGTCTTCTACACTCCACTGTTGCTCCCTAAGCAGGATGAAGAAGAAATACTCCTGCAGTAAAAGGACAGGCTATGAGAAAAGGAAAAAACACAAGATATGAAAGACTGTAAAGGCAGAAAGAGACAGGTTGTGACCAAGGGGAACAGCAGAAAGGACTGACTGAGCGACCAGAACAAAAGATGCTCTGCAGTCTCCTCTGCTCCAGTTCCAGTAGCACAGAAAATGTTGCTTTTTTCCCCGCTGCTGCCATACTTCAATTCCTCACTCTAGACTACTCTAAAAGGAGAAAAGCATGTTTAAATCCCAATTCTCCTTTCATACAGTAGAGATGGCACCTGGTCAAACCTATTCTTTACTTTTTCCAAAAGGTCTTTTTTTTAAATTTTTTTTTTCCTGTAACAGTTAAAAGAAATAATGGATGAGAAACTAGTGTGCTAGAGCACACAGACTCATGCAGAACTTTCACCAGTTATTTAAAAATTACTCTTAAAATTTATTTCAAATGTAATCTCCCAAGACATTCCAAATTACAAACAACAAGCAAAATTTTATTGCAGTAAATGAAGGAAAAGGGAGAAATAGCAACAATCTAGACATACTCGATATATATTTAATAAAAATTTCAGAGAACATCTATGTCAAACACATAAAAAGCAGAAACACCTCTGACATTTTCCATCTTTGGAAGACATTTCTGACATTTCCATCTTTTTCAAGATAAAGTCCACTTTACCTTGGCTTTTCCTTTGCTAACTGAGTTTGTTTCAGAGAGTTAAAGAAATGGACCAACTTTGCAAGGGACATCTTGGGGCTCAACACAGCACAGCCCTTTTCAAACCTCAGTCACTGATTTAATCCTTGCCTACACTGTTAAGGACAAAGAGTAGTTAATGCCCAATCATTATCAAAATTAAGAATTACGGAGGCACCACTTCAAATTTGTGACCTGCAGAACAAGCGTTGGCGTTCCCAGCTGACAACCCCAGATACTGTAATAACTCTTATAGCAATGTTTTGGTCTCCACGTGGAAAATGAACTTACAGGAGTAGTTTAGGTTTCCTGGTCAAGCCGTACAGCTACATAGGTCTGGTGTATCATCCTCCACGCCACGGCCTGACCAGCTCTCAGGGTGCACTGCTGCACAGAGACCTCCCAGGACGCTTCTCAGCACATTAAAAGGTAGCTCTGCATTTTCAAACAGAAGTGCCAGGGAGTAGCAGAAGGAGGTTGGCCTGACAAGGGTCAGCTAGCTGGTCACAAAGTACAGCTGCTTGTAGCACGCACTGTTTAACCGGCATTAAGGGGTTTGGTGTTTTTCCAGAATTGCTCCTCATTAAGACCTGACACAGAAACAGGCTTGAGATATCACCGTATTTTCGGACAAGTGAGGACACTACCTAGGAGGTACACATGCAGAGCTCCTGACAGACAGTTTTCCACTGACCGTTCCTATCATTTCAAAAATAAGTTCTAAGAAACTGATGTCAGCCTACTGGACTTTGATTATCCAGCTTCCCAATCCTGAAGAAGATTCAATAAAGTGATAGCAGAGCTGTAAGGTTTTCTTTAACACCAGAAACCCTCCGGGAGAGACAGCTGTTCCCCACCCTTCCCTGTCCACCACCCCCAGTTTCCGAGGGACATACTCGGTCTTCACAGGTTCTTGGTGGTACCAATTCTGTTCAAATCACGACTACATGATTTAAGTTGCCAAAACCCTGAATGTACCCATCACTTTACAGGATTCTGCTAAAAAAGTAACCCCTAATGAGTGAAGTCAGATGATCTGGGAAAAAATAAAAAATAGAATCAGTTGCTGTAATGCCCTGAAGGGAAATTTCTGTGTAAACAGTAGAAAAGGATGATGCAACATGTGTAAATTCATGTACACATGCTGTTCAGTCGCTCTCTGCTAATCATGCCACGGATAAATATATCCTTTACGTAAAACAGAAAAATATTTTCAAAGCCACACAAAAATACCTAAAAATAAATTTCATTGTCAAAACCACTGAAGGTGAAAATTCAATGTATTCATTCCAAACTACAGCTCTAATTCCAGATACATCAAAAGGTCTTAGCATCTCATAGCTAGATGCTATGCTAAATCTGGAAAAAAGGATACAAAAGTGATATGACTTTTTTGGTATAAAATTATTTTGGGTAGTCAAAGAGAAGAGCTGCAGAAGGACCCAACAATACTCACAGATCATATTAAATACCAGTAAATGCAAAGCAATGAACACCGGGGAATGAAAAAGCACCATCAGCTATGCATACACTGCCACAGCCTCCAAGATTAGCTCTTAGGACTCTGGTAAGCAATCCTGAAATCATTGCAGTGAATTCAGGATGTCAGTCAACTTACAAACTAGTTATATCAGAACCAGAAAAGACACAGACAAAAGTAACAAGATCATCAGGTAAAGGTTTTTGTGTAAGGAGACACCAGAAAGATGAAGACTGGGTTGGGCTGGGAGGGGGACAGGGACAGCTAAGGCAGGATATGAGAAGGCTCTCTGAAATCACTGGCCACAGAGAGCATCAGTTAGGAATGATTCACCCACTACTGGCAGGACACAGGAAACAGGGTGCACCCACTGAAGGCATCAGGTGGGGAACTCAACATGAGCAAAAAGGAAGTGGTTCTGGCTGCCACCTTCAACCACAGTTACACGCTGTGTCATGGGAAATTGCAGAAGTATAATAAGCAGGTTAAGAATGGTGTTGGAGAAGTTCATGAAGGCCAGGTCTGTCAGCACCTCCCAGAAGAGCGATCCAAGAGGCGACGCCTGCTCAGAGCACATTCGGGCCACCGTGTGTTTACCTGTGGAGGGACGGTGCATGGACCGCCTGCCCTGCCACCCCCGCTGCCAGAGACAGGGCACTTGCTTAAAGGAGTCTTTAAGAATTGCTATCCTGCATCCAACTGAAGCTCCTACAGTCCAGAGGACACGTAACTAACCTTGACATGCCAATTTAAGAACTATCGGGACTGGAAAGTTAGCCAGAGCTGCAGTTAAAACCAAGACCCTCCATTCTCATTTCAGGGGAATTACATGCAGTGCTCAGCCTCCAGAGACATGCCACTGCATTAGTTTCCATTTGGCACATACTTCAAATGTTTTTACAGGGTCAGCCATAACAACTAGAGGTTATTAAAAAATTAAAAAAAAAAAAAAAAAGTCAGAGAGGCTTGCCCCTGCCTAAACCAGTGATTTAGACCCTCTGGAAAAACACAAGAAACCTACACCCAACAAAAACCAGTTTCTAATTTTTTTTCTTAGAATTTTCATACTACAAGAACAGTAACATTCAAGTTGAATGCAAGGAAGGTTACGTCATCTTTATGTTTGTGCTCAAAAATAGGTTTTGAGTATACACATTTAGAATCTAGAAGTTAATTCAACTTAAGATAACTTCATCTCTTTTTTAAAGGAAGTATTTTTGTAATACTCTTTAGTGAAATTCTAAATACATTCAACTTGCAATTACTCCAGAGATCTGAGAGAGTACTAAGGTGACCTGAATAAAGCACAAGAGATATTATGATATCTTATATAAATTAGGGTGTAAATCTGTTCACCTTCGGAAAAACCTGAAGGCAGATTTCTATAAAAAGCAGGGACAGATTTAAACATGGCTATGGAACAGAGCTCCAGTGAGCAGCCTGTACTCTGAATCACACAACACTGACACAGCAGTGATGCTGGAGAAGGTCATTCCCAGCTAAACTGCCATCCAGCAGGATCCACACAAGGATATCTGAAAGCTTACTGTAAAAGTCTAAAAGCTCCCCAGATCAGCAAAAGGGAATTAAGACAAAATAATGGAATTTAAGGATAAAATGTTATCAACTTATTTGGTATAGGAAGAGTTAAAATATTTTTTGAGATTTCAGGCTTGCAATTAACAGCAAACCAAAAGCAAAATGCAACTTCTCTCTCCATTAGTCCAGGTCTTGATACAAAGAACTGCTGAGGAGAAAGTTTTAATAATATCCCATCCAAGGTGTCAATGAGATTTGCTACTACTTCCAGAGTGTTGCTCTGCACAACTACTAAGAGGATGTTTTGAGTGAAAAAGCTTACATTTGTTTGTCAGAAAATTACATATAACGTGTAACAATCTCTCAGGAAACCTGTTATTTGATAACAGTTACTGTTGTCATTATTTAAAAAAAAAAAAAAAGAAAGAAAAAAATAAAGTTGGGTTTACCAGCACCTTGATGTTAAAGTGGAAAAGGTGACCTACCCATCAAACATATTTCTCATAACTACATTCAACCATCGGACATTAGTCAAAAACCTTACTGTGTTCAGATATGGAATGGTCACTGAACTTTTCAAAAGAAAAGTGTGGTGTGTTTAGATCATAGGAGTTGTCCACCTGTGTGAGATGCACATAAAAAGACATTGATACCTATTTCCCATATCCTGGAACATGATGTTACTAATTTGCTAATACTTGGTTTTTAGCATTTTAGTTCAATGTAAAAGTAGGTTTATTTCCTACCTGTAATGTACATGTGTAACCGTTGGTTGTCGGTAGCCAAGAATCCAAGTTTGGATGTCTATAGGTTCACCTTTGGGATACGCAATGGTTGTATCTATCACCCACTGGAGGCCTTTTGATTTGCTCTCTAGGAACAAAATGAAATGTGATATTAAAAGTAATCAGAAAGTGCACGTCACTTATTTGATAGTTATTCCATTTTTATATTACTTCATGAGGTATGGGGCACAAATAAAATAAGACAGCCAAAAATCAAATCCAGATTTCATTACAGAGCACAGAAATACTCTTACAAACTTCAGATAGGCCACAATTTTATTTTCACAGTTATTTCTGTTGTTCTTACATATTGTAGTACACAGAATAGAACAAGTTCACTCACTGGGAATGAGCATAGTCACGTAACATGTTGGCCCAAAAGTTATGTGCCTTCCCCCATTCACCAAAAGGAAAACTTCAAAAATAAAAATCCATCTTTTTTGGCCTGCACTTTAAGCACATTTACAACTGGACCTTTTGTAAGAGCTTGCAGCTGCAGCTCACTGATGAGGCAACAGCCATGCAGATCTCTCAAAGGTTCTTAAAAATCCGAGTTACTGGATAAAGAGGAAATATACCACTTTGTGTATTAAAGAAAAGAATTGAACGAATAGAAGATGGTCAGTTTTTACAATGGAGAGGAGATTGCATCCACAAGGTCCCAGAAAGACTGATACCAATACATGTTCATATGCTGCTCAGCGTATTTAGAAACTGAAAAAAGGATCAAAGGAGGTGAAAATATTTGCTATGAAGATTATGCAGGAGAGTCAAATTTAAAACTGAACACAGGTTACTATCAGCAACAGTCAAGCTCAGATATCAACCTAGCCATGACCTCTCTCTGTCTTCAATTCACACATTTGCAAAGAGGGAGAGCCTCAGATCTGGAAAGCAAACCAGGAAGGAGGGGCACACTGCCAAGACAGCTCTTTGAATTTAGTCTTGTCAATTTTGTATCTATTCTGTGGGAACTGGAGCTGCCTAGTATCTCATGTTATGTTCAGGCTAGTATAGTTATATTCTTACTTAATGCTTAATACACTAGCATAGTAATATGCTTACATCATACCCAGCAATATCTTAAAGCATTTAAAAAGTTGACTATTAAAAACAGCCACCTGTTAGCAGAAGCATGTAAGAGGTGTTAGGTCTTAGTACAAAGCACAAGACTCTTCAAGCTTGCAGCTGAGACAGCTATGAAAGAAATATGATCGAGGTTGACAAAAACACTGCTGGCATGAGGAACAGGCACGGGCATAGACCGTTCACCATCCTTCTCGATACAAGAGTAGACATATTCAAAATGAAGCTAAGTGAAAAACTTTTCAAAGCAAACAGAGAGAAATGATTCTTTGTGCATAAGGGAATCAAACTGTGGGGAGCCCCCGGCCAAAGGATGTCAAGGATGCTAAGAGCTGAGTTCAAAAGGAAACTGGACAAGTACACGGAAGAAATCCATTGGAGGGTTAACTGAACAGGCAGAAACCTCCAACTGGCTCGGGAAACCTATCACACTGGAAACAGTCAGAAGCTAGGAGAGTATGTGGGAGAAGTATGATGCATGTTTGCTGTGTTCACACCCTTCCTCTGATACCCACTTGGAGTCATGGACAAGATGTTGTGCTGGACAGACATTTGGTCTTGCCCAGAATCGTCACTCAAATTTCACAGAAGAGCTACCACACATGAAGAAATCTGTAACACACCGTCCGAGGCGCACCCTAAAAACCAGTTACTAACACCAACTAGTAGATACATGCAAGGACTGACTCTACCTGCATCTAATTTAATTAAGCGTGAAAGACAATTACATCAATGCTATCACATATACCTATGAATTATTTTAACAAGCAGCTGGTGTTTTCATGGTGTCTACTCAACAATGGAGTTGTACTGCTTCGTTCCAAATGCACATACACTACCTGAATAAGGCTAGACAGTATTTCCTAATATTTAGGTTATGAGTTATTAATAGCATGCAATGTGCTATTCCAAAATTTGACCAAGGGCAAGCTACACAGGTCAAGCTGAAACAGCCAGTGTCACCTTCTGGAAATACAGTATTTTAAAACCCTGACAGACACGTGAAATGAGAACACAAGGTCCCATTAGAGGCTCCAGCCTTGCCAGCATCATGACAGAGTGCTTGTCAAGTCTCTCTTAAGAAAAGCACTAACTACAGAGTACTTCATTTAGAAAGTAGCAATGTATTAGAGAAAAGCCAATATGAAATTAATAGTAAATCCACAGAAGTATTCATCTAGAAATGGATTTCAGAACAAAGCTATTCAATTTATTATTTTCCCTGATGTAAAGTGAAAATGGATAAAGACAAGTAAATTGTCTAAGCGTAAGCAATGAAGATCATTAATTACAATTAAAAAGTGCCAGATGAATATGGGCACACAACCTTATTATTTACAGTAAAATGTTTTAAAATCATGTATTAAATATTTAGCTAGTATTTCAAACTGTTCTTTCAGTGGCTAATGGTTCAAACTTTATTATGGGAAGACTCCCACAGTGCTGATTTCCTACCTTCTGCTTTTGTTGAGCAGAGCTGCTGCATGGATTCCTCAGATCAGCCCCAAACTCACCTCCAGCCCCTTCCATGGCAAGGTGGGGAGAAAAACCTGCCTCTGACAGCCCACCAGAAACCCCAGGTTAGGGATGGGGTGGGGGAAAAAAAAAAAAAATTCTGAAGGTAGTATCAGCCTCCATAGACCCTCCTTTAGAGCAAGCAGGTCCTAGTGCAGCTACTGCCACGTGCAATATACCAAGATGTGCTATCAAAACACGGTCACAGGCCTATTTCTGCATGCACTGTTTTAAAATAAGTCTTACATAACCATCCAAGATCTAACACTGCCAAAAAAACTTAAGTCGCCAAGGATTTCAGAAAATTAATTTTGAAACAAATCCTGTTGTCCTTTTTGAGGGGGTTATATTGTGCTCATGAGCACATTTGTTTTAAAGCCACAAAGCTCTAACAGATCCTGAAACTGAAGAAGAAACAGACAACTGCACACAACACGAAAGCGTAGGACCTTAGTATATCCAAGGATGCTGCTTTCAGGCCTAAGCATACCTTTGAACAAGAATAAATGCTTATTTTTTAAATAGAGCTCACTAACAGGAACTCAGAATAGAAAGACTGCTGCATCAGTTGTAATATGGTGTGAATCTCAGGTCTGGCATTTGTAGCTGAAAAAAAGGAGCTGCGCATACCTGTTCAAGAACTCCTCTTGCCAAGTCTGGCTTGGCCAGCGCAGTCACAGATGTTTCTGACAGCCAAACGCTTCTGAATTTTCTACCCATCATTAAAAGACACCCTCATCCTTCATTTCTAGTACCTACTGAAAAACTGAGCAGCCTGACTGCCAGAGACTTCAGCAGAAGAAACTGCTGCAGAGGCCAAATTTAAGCTGATCTCTCCGAGGACTAGTTTTTCTTCCATGGTGTCAGTCTGCTTGCCACTTTCAGCATAAGTCGAGGATTTTGATTTCTCAAATTGCCTCAAAATGTTAGCATTCTGATTTTTAAAAAATAGTATATAAATGTTCAAAACAGGCCTGCAGGCACCTGTCCTACACAGTTGCATCCAAACCATGTAGTAGTAACGTACCTTAGTATGAATGGTACATACTTGCCTTATGAGTGTTAAGACAAGACTTAACAATCACATATTAGCTTTCTGGCCTAGGCAAGAAAAAACTCAAAATTTGCAGAGGCAAATCTTCATAACTATTTTTTTATTTTCTTGTTTCTGTTCTAGCTGTGGATTCATCAGTGTCTTCAAGACATTCAGTGCTCTGTCATCCTCTATGGTCCTCTCACAGAAGACACTTGACTGTCTACAATCACAAATTCAGTGGGCTTCTCTTCGTCCCGCTATATCCTCCCTGGGGTTATTCTCAACCATTGGTAAAAGCCAGATTTGATCACACACAGGACTCTTCAAACCTGCCAGCAGACCACCCGTGTTTACCGCTGAGAAAAAGAGCAAGTTGTAAAGACAGCTTTAAGCAGGAAACCTCGCCTCCAGCCAAGCTCTGATGTATCCGGAGCAGAAAACGCACCAGCCAGGCGTGAACCTGAGGACCACAGCTTCCCCTTGAAAAAAGAAAATATTTACTAGCATTCACTAGTATTCAGGTGTGGTTTCCTGAACACTTACATCACTCTAAACACAGCCAAAAGAGGCTGTTGCCTCCCCCTGCATAGCAATGTGTTCTTGTAACTTGAAGCTTGTCCTCTCCTTGTCCTTGTGTGATTAGCTGGACCACTGACCTCAAAACTAACTCTTTTCTCAAAGATTAGCTCTCAGGCTGAGCATCATATGCATTATCCCAAGATCTCTCCATAACAAATCACCTGGAACAAAACAAGCAGCCCCTTTTCCAGGATAAAAAAAACCCTTTCCACATGTTATTCAAGTCACATTCCTCGTAACAGTGAATCAGAAAGATTTAAGAAAAAAAAAAAAAAATCAATTACGAAGTCCAGTGTCCAGCTCTGCAGAAGGGAAGACTGAATTTCTCTGAGAAAAAGCAGCAGAACTGAATGTACTGTCCTGCATTTGAAAACAGTAAGATAAGATTTCAATATGGCTCTAACCAAGCTCACAGTAACTTCTTATCAGACAAAAAACTGCTGCATAGTAAAATAAAGCAGGATTTAAAAAACCCCAAACATACTAGAGTAAGGCTGATCAAAAAATAAGCTCTAGGATGCATATCTTCAGTGAACAATTGCTCCAAACTCCTTTGAATTGCCAGATGTTTAGCACTTCGAACATTTTGCTAGTTCTAAAACTCACAAGAAGATCGGTTCTTATTAACTGAAGAAACCCTGTATTTGCAACTATGTCAGAGACTAAGTGTTCTGTTAAAAAAATTAAACAAACAAGCAAGCCAAAACCATAAAATAACTCCCTTCACACACACACATTGGTCCCTACAGGGTTAAGGTGATGATGGCTATGCATCAAGTATTTTTATGCTGCCTGTATTTCTATTCTGCACTAAAACCTTCTCCTGGAAGGCAGGCACTGGCAGCAACGCTCTGTTAGGGGGGCACAGCACATCTGCCCAGAGGGATGCTTTCATCAGAGATCAGAATTAGCTTACACCATGTTTTCAGGGACAGACACCACTTAGCTACATTGTCTATACTTTCTAGCTTCAAAAGCACTCCAGTCATCAAGTGATAGCACTATCTTTCCTATATGTTGTTCCATCATTCTCTTTATTTTGGAATAAAATTGCACAATTTTGTTAAAATCAAACAAGCATTTCAAAAGGCAGCAAAAGCAACAACTGTTTTAGTCATTTAATTTAGTATTTACCTGCAATAAGTTAAATTTCTCCTCACTGAAGGCTAGTACTTGAGACTTCAAATATGAAAGATGGTTTGGAAAACTGTTATGAGGAAGAAATTAAGAAAATAGAAGCTGCTTGCCTTGGAAATGCAACTGATAAAGAACTGATCAGTTTAATTACAAGAACAATCAAATAGTATTGATCATCTAGCTCAGGAACATTTGTTCTTCCTCTCACTTTACAAAAGAAGAATCAGGTAATAAACTGTGGGAAATTCATAACTGGTACAAAAACAAACCAAAAAATAAACTAATTAAGGCTAATGAAATACTGGGGAGCCTACTGAACCTCACACTTCACAACATAAACCCACCCCTACCAAAGGGATGACAGAAATCAGATTAGAGACCTTACAGAAGGAGGACAGATGATGTAGCATTTAGCTGTTGTACAGTGCTTACCTACTATCTGAAGGCTCTAACTCCAGTGACCTTTGGTGTACAAAAGCAAGCTAGTAGGCTTGAGGAGTGAGGGGTGACATGATGAAACCACTGTATGGTTTGTACCGAATTAAGCTGTGAACCACCTTTTATTATAGTTGCTTTTGTCATCTTCTCTTCTTTCACCAAGTATAATCCACCATTCCAGTTGAACAAGTAGAATGGTATGAAAACTACAATGCTATAAAAGCTACAACGATAACTTTAAATGAATTAAGTACTAATCACAGCACTCAAGAACACTGCAACTGTGTATCATGACTCATCATAATGTAGCTACCCAGGAAAGTCAACAGGAAGAGGACTTAATTTTTGATGAGGAAGAGTTACTCTCAATCTATACACCAATTTATTCAAAATCAGGTGAGGGAGGAAGGTGAACCCCCATCATTATCAGTAAGGCTTGGCAGTAACAAAAAGAGTGAGAGAACGATAAATAACAGAGAAGAAAGCTTATTATAGTAAGCTGAATAATTTGATAACCCATGATACCAGGAACATTGTTAAATAAGACAGTACAGAGCACAAGAGAAGTGGTGCAGAGGAAAAATGTTTTCAGTGAACCATGACGTTCAAGTGTGATGCTACTGACAAATAAGCCACCTCCTAAGCAAAGGAGTACAACAGTAATGTACAAAAACCTCATAAGCAATCTCTATGCAAGACACTGGCGAAACCTTTACTGTATATATTACACCTAGTTCTAGCCCACAACTCAACGATGGTAACCCAAAGAGGATAAGCAAGTTTGATTTCACCAAGCCAGGTTTTTTCACGTGGTTAGAAAAAGGGAAGGATAAAACACATAAAAAGTAAAGATGATCACTAACTTGTCAGTCTTGTAAATTCATATTATAACCTTATCGACTCATACAATTATATTTCATTTAACTGAACAAACATTCTTCAAAAATTTTCTGAAGTGGCAAGAGCATAATAAAAGCATTTGGAAGGCAGAAGATTAGAGGAAGAGTCTTTTATACAAGATATAGATCAAGAATTAACCTTCTGCACATCTCTGAAAGGGAAGTTTTACCACACTACAAACATTTTTGTAAGCTTAAAAGAAGAGAGAACTTAAAATACCTCCACGCTTCATATATATCAAATATTACTCTTTCCTAGCATATAAAATTTACTTTCACTTCTCATTTTCATCCTGTTTATTATGTTTTCATCTCCATTACTCTCAAAGAATGATAGTTAAACCCACACATTTTTTTCCTATTTTTGCCCACTTATATTTTGTTCTGTCTTTTGAGTAGAATGGACAGATATGGTTCCACTGTATTTCTGAGACAGTTCCTTTATTTTAGTAGCCAGTTAGGGAAACTACTATCAAATGCTTATTTCTCCAGAGTATGAATCATGCCACTCAAAAGAAAAAAAAAGAGAAAGAACCCAGGATTGATGTTCAGCTAAGCTGATAGCAATCGAAGAGTATGAAATATAAAATTGGTATTTGATGAGTTCTTTTGGTCCCCTTTCAGAACTAGAAGGCCTGTAATTCACATTTGGGGAACTTCTTACTCTTCATACCCTTTTCCCTTTGAGACAGGAATAAATAGAATAAAAACAGGCCAAACTTTTCTCCATAAAAAAAATAACTTTTAACAAGGAATACTGTATTCTGTTTCTCTTTTAAACCTAAAAGCTTCTAAGACAACAAGGGCTTTCTTCAGCCTTTCTTTTCTGAATGTAGCCTGTAAGGAAATATTCTGATGCATTCTACAGCTTGATTTTCAGTTCATTTAAAATCTTCCCTCTGCTCCTGCAAGAACATAATCTCTATTCATTTCCTATGTTGACAAGATTAACTTCATAACTAAAAATCTGGAAGCAATTTCTGTATGAGGCTTCCTGCTAACCCTGAAACTTGAACTTCGGCAAAGAAAAAACCCAGTCATCTACATGGCCTCATTAGGATGGATCTTTGGTTCAAACTGCTAAATGATTATAATTTGGCTATGGAAATATCAGCACCACTCATCAATAAGAAACCACCATGAATGCTCAATCCATTGTTTTATATAATAAATAACAGAAATCCACAACTAGGTTAAGAAGATCTAACCCTGCTCTCTGAACATGCAAAGAAGTTAATTTTAAAAATTGAGAGACTAAAAGCACCAAGTCCCCTAACAACAGTCATTGTTTATATCCCAGCTATACTCTCCCCTACAACCCAGGCAGCCCAGAACAATAATCCTGCAGGAATATTCTTATTCCCTCATAACTCTTCTAACATAAGACAGACAAAACAATCCTTCAGACCTAGTCATCAGTAACAGTTAACTCCAGCAACAAAGGAGACAATCATCATTAAAACACGTAGAGAATAGAAGAACATGAACTCAGTAGAAAATAGTTCAAGAAAAGGAATGAAGTATACGGTACTAGAGGCAAAGAAACTTTTAAAGCCAAGAATAAAAATTTGAACGTGGTTTGCATATTCCAGAAATACTTTTACTATGGTTACATACTACCATAAACCAGTGCAAACCATCAATCGTGCTGAAAGGAGCAGCCCACCTTCTTGCCCATTCCGGGTGCTCATCCCAGTATCTACTTTACTCAGCATGTGTACCAAGACAAACATCCATGCAGCTACACTGTAGACTAAATCAAACTGAAACCAGTGTTTTCTTTTTTTATGTGTCTCAACATAAAAAATAAACTGAGTGAAACTAAAACCAAGCATGAAAACATTTATATAAATATGATGGTGCATTATGGATGTATTTAACATTTAAAGAGACCAACACAAAAGGTTTTGCTTAACTCAAATCTTAGACATTCAATTTGCTTTTTATACACAAGAGTAAAGTGGTTTTCACCTTTTATCACAGCATCTCCACTTGCTGGAGTTCCATTCTCTTGCGGCGCTACAAGTGTTTTCAGAATTACTTGCGTTGCCCCAAGTCTCGGCAGGGTGACATGTTTAAGAAATGGCAAATTGTTTTTCTTGGCAAATGCCTGGCTTGTTTCTCTCCTTTTCCTAAGAAAGCCACCCTCTGGAAATAAAACAATCCATTTCCGATTACGGCTCCTGTAATATTTTTCTAGATGCTCCTTGAGTAACACAAGCTGCTGGTCACGGTGTGCTCTTCCCTATAAGGATAAAACATTAATTAAATAAAATTAATGCTTAAAAAGGTAACATTAAGACAGATAATTATTAATTTCTATGATTTCTCTCTCTTTTCAGAGATAGAAATAAGGCTCTAAAACAGGACAAAACAATATTCCCAGAGTACCTGCTGGTGGCTGAGTTAATGCCACTTTACAGAAAGGCTGAAAAAAAGCCCTTGAAATTGAGGATGAAGCTCCCAATTTGATGACTTATCTGCGAGGGCAACATCTGGACTTTTAAGCAAGAACTCCACATAACAGGAGGATGTGTTTGCAGAATTCTCCAGCTGCTATTGGGTCCCAAGTTGAATTTGCTAAACTGAATTCTGCAAAGACAATCTAGGGGTCAAACTATGATTTGGAGGTCCACGTATCCTCAGTAATTTCTGCGAGCCAAACAGTATCTTTGCTTATATATATCTTCTATGCACCTCTCCCCGCATCCCATACTAGAACAGCAGAGGTACCTGAAGACACAGTCAGACCACGAGACCAGGCTTTAGTTCAGTTACCACAGCAGAACCACAGATTTCTCCAAAACCTGTGCTGCTTGAATGTTAGGTGTCAATTGACATCAGCACACTGATGTAAACACTTACTGTTTGAGAGGGGAAAAGAAAAATAAAATTACTGGGCTGTGATGTTTGCAGGTTTTCTTTCTCTAGGAGAAACTGTTGAGTAGGAAGTGATTTTATTTGTGTGAACTTAAAGAAGGCCTCCAACAATAAAAATGAGATGCCCTAGCCAACAAGATACTGTACACCAGCTTCCAATTTCATAATTAGCTGTATGTAGGACATAGCCAGGTGATAATTAAGCCTGAAGGACCAAGGGGACAAAAAAAAAAAAAAAAAAAAACAAAACACCACAAAACCCAACCCTCGTTAATTTATCTTTTTTGATGTATTAGTACAACTTTTTCACTTAAGACAGTAAGATTTGTCCTTAATTACTGCAGAAGTACCTTCAATATCTTCAACAAAAATTTTTATCTTCCCACTTCCACACACAGAAAGAGCAAGCTACCTAAATTTTCAAAGGAATTAATTTACATCAATTATCAGTTTTGAGTGCTCCAAACTGACTTTGACAAATCACTCAAAAGACACAGGAGTCGAAAATTTAAGCTTCCCTCAGCAGAGGTGATTTTAACTTTCTGAAATGTCAACAAAACTGCCATAAACCTTCTACTCTTTGGTGGCTTTTTTTTTTTTTTTTTTTTGGCAGGGAAGAGTGGGGTTGAGTGGAAGACAACAAGTAACAATATTTTCTTGAGGACAAGTTTTGTGAAAGTATTTCTCCTAGATTTTACAATCTCACGATTGCAGTTACTTCCAACTTAATTCATGAAAGGGGAGGAAAAAGCTCTGCCTGCTCATATTAATGCAATTAAAGAGCAATATAAAAGTCTCTAAGTTAAAACAGTCCTTTCCCACCAGATCACAGAACTTCAAGAAAAAACAGTAGTTAAAAAAACAGCAGTGAACAATAAACTTTTCACAGATTAGATATTAGAACTCTCCAAAACCTAAACAAACCTAATGAATACAACTGGTGGATAAATTTCAGTTTAGCAAAAACTGTGAGGTTTAAGATGCTGATTTGATACAGACAAATCTACTGGCCTAATGGGAAAGAGAGGAGTGTTTATAAAAGCAACCGTGACTAGGGGAATACTGAAGAGTCCTGGAGGATATAAACCACAATTAATATACTGTCCAGAAAGAAGAGCAAGTTGGTCATACAGAAGCAGAAGCAGCTTCTTAATACAACCAATTCCTGAAGACCATGGCTAGCTGATCACCATCACAGGGAACAGGCTCAGCTTTCTTTCCTTTAGTGTAAAGAAGGTAGCAGCCAACTCCTGACAAATTCTTTAGGATGCCATGCACTTTGCATCACCGATATGGCAAGTCACTGACAGCCTCAGTTTCCAGTAAACTTTTCAATGGAAGAGAAAACACTAGTCAAATTCTAGTAGACCTCAGAAGCATTCCTAAAACTGCTATCGGTGCTGCTCATGAAAATGAGGCTAAAGTACATTTTTAACAAATAGGATGTATTGTACCATGATCAAATTGTATTATTTTACAGGGAAAAATAAGAATTATTTGCTCGTCCAAATATTACTAGGCCTTTCTATCGTTAGGCAAAGGACCATTACTCATTCACCTTATGTGTTTTTTTGCTACACACAAAGGCTAATTAACAGTCAAGAAACATTTTATTTTCAATTGATTTATATTTAGACTCATGACGGTATCATTTTATTTATGATGTTAGAAATATTTTCAGTCACTTTACAAAAGTGAGGAAAAGCCTTAGTTCTTGCAGCTCACTAATAGTTTAGTTCTGTAACTAGAATTGCAACACCACATTCAGAAATTACAATTAACAAGTTGACAGCCATGTGTACCTCAAAATTTGTATTTTGTGAATTTTAACTACTGAAATCGATTTATATTTTGCAAAGTATCAAACCCTGTTCCTCTACATACTCGCACAGTACACAGTTGTCTACCTCTAGAGACCTTTATTTTATTATCTCGCTTTCCCTGAGGTTTTCTAACCATGCCTCTAGTCTTAGTGAGAAATCTCACTTTAGCTGTGATTACAGTGATTAAGTATTGCTTTATTTCATTCCGAGTAAATTAGCTTCTCATTTTCTATAAAGTGAAAATTCATTAATTCTCTTTGGCTGCCCATACAGTTTAAGTCCAGACAAAAAAAAATAAGGAGAGGAAAGAAACGCATGGGCTGGATGTCACAGTTCACATGAGTGTGAACCTGCTGCCAGTTATCATTATACTTTTAAGTTTCTACTTTTAGAGTGCAGTTTGGTCAACAGCTACCAAAGAACAAAAAAAGCCCTAAATTGTCAGAAATAATCTGAGGTTTTCACTCCTTAACATTTGAGATGCTGAGCTCAACACGCATTCTTTCCTGATGCTCAAAAAATAATTAACCTTCAAGAATCAATTAATTACTATTTATGCATGTCCATCAGCACCTTAAACTGTTCTACTACCATGTCACCATCAAAAGGGACGGTCCTGCCTTTCCTTATCTGAAACTTTGACAGTCGGATCAGTGACTGCATTGCACAGCTTCAAGGTCACTGAGGAAAGAAGAGGGGTGCCAACAATGGGCAGTCAGAAGCGGAGAGACAAAAAGGACTGCCCCTGTACTTTGCTTGTACACCTCCCATAAAAGGCTCCCATCACAATTGGGTTCTATAAACATTCATGTCTAAGCAAATAATAACATAAACTTGGATAAAAAGCCGTTTCAGAGCAAAGCTCTACCCAAATGCACACATTACAGTGTAGTTATTTCATCCTGCAAACCATCCAGGGGGCAATGAGTAAATCCCACAACACCACCATGCTCCAAATACAAGGATAAATCAAAGTACTATTACATGTTTCCATTTACCTGTCTTATAAAGAAGTCTCCATGGATTAGAGACACGATGCCAAAGTTGGTATACTTAAAAATATGATCCATCAGCCACATCATCTGACGGACAACCTGAAAAGTTAAAAAAAACCCCACCTTTAGTAAATACAAAGCACAGAGAATTACGTATATACTATTCACATTATTGTCACCCTTGCTACAGCAATAAAACTAGGAAATATATGGAATAAAGTCCTTTATGCCCCAAAGTATAAAGCAGCACAGGTGCTACACTCCTCCCTCAAGAGTAGGATTAAACAGCTGCTGCCTTGTAATATAATACACAGTTCTACACTATTAGCCATATGCCAGAGTAATTTCCACTCCGTCTTTTCACACAGGTAGTGTAATGCTTCTTATTGATACGTCACCACAATTTTAAGCCAGTTGCAAACTAAAACCATTTTCAGTGTTTGTTAAAGTACACAAAACAATACAGATCTGTATTTGAAGTCTCCAACTGTTTTATGTCTGCCACAAAAACATGTTTCCTTGTATTTTTTTGTACTTGGCGATTTTGGGGAGATCGTGTTGCTGTCATGCCTCTGATGTGCACGTGCTCCATACGTGCTCACTCTGTCTTTGAACAGCAGCATTCACTGAGACTTACGTACAGCCCACACACCACTACTGACTTCTCACATGGCCGAACAGTCACACGCATCCCTGAGAGTTTCATCAAGTCATAAGCCTTGTCCCAGCCAAGAAGCATGCTGAGGTGGCAAAAATAGGGGTTGAGCCATCAGATTCACTTTGACCATCACTTCTTACAAGACAGTGAAGGCAGATACTATACCTGTTCAGTCCTTTAAGATTTAAAATAGAAGAATTACTCCAGAAGAGGTAAGTAACAGAAGGGAAAAGCTTCTTTACTCACAAGTTCCCTCTATGCCTCTTAAATGTAGATTTTGTGATGAGTAGGAATTGGCTCTCCAAAACTGAAAAATGCAGTCTCTCACACACTCTCAATCATACATGAGGCTAGCTGCCTTTACTCTTTCCTATGTTATAAGGCCACATCAAGACTGATTCAAGTTCAGTGAACTTGAAGTCATGTAACATAATACTCTTCCACTTATCACTATCAAAAAAGCATATGGAGAACCATGACATTTCTCTGGCAGTCAGAAGATCATTTTTTGAATCTTAAACAGGCATCTTCTTCTTGGCATCCTTCAATTGTCCGAGATACATAATTTGAGGCAAAGAGAGACATCTAAGAAATAAAGATTTCCTCTAGAAAGTACAATGTATTGTTCAGGTATTATCTACTGATAAAGTGTACTGTACACTTATCTCCAAAACACCAGAGGCTTGCACAGTAACTGAAATACTCAGAATCCACAACCATGCCTTCAAGAATATTTCCAACAAAACAGTTTGATACAGTGAAAGATGTTGGCTTTTACCATGTTTTCACATCTTCACATGTCTACGCGGAATTTGTAGAAAGCAGCAGATCATATTTCATACAGGAATTCTGTTTTCTAAAAGCAGCTCAATTTGTATCTAGAATTGCATGTATCAGTACTGTCTTTGTTCCAAATAAATCTGATTATCTCTTGGAGTGTTCTGATTGCTTATTCTCCCTTTTGACCACAGAAGCTATAAATGAACCCTGGAGAAAGATAACTGTCACATACCCTGTTTCTTTTACTTAAACAGCTGCAGCCAGATGCTCAGTAAAGTGAAGGTTTTACACACTTGCAAGAACATACCTGCCAAAGAACATTTAAGGCACTTTATTGCCTTAAACATATAGCTGATCTCCCAGCAAAATCTGAATGTCACATTTAGAAGTTAGCTATCCTTGCCTAAGAGCAAATTAAGAACACTTCAGCTTTTGTGTTTTTTTAACACCAGCAAACTTTCTATCTGACCATCTTGGATAATGCAAGAGCGCCCATTTCTGGACCCTCTAGCATCACTGGAAGTGGAAAAGGAAACCATGTCTGAGAGAAAAGGACAGCTCTCAAGTGAAAAGTCTTGCTTTGGAAACAAGCAGCCATTTCTTCTCTGTTACATGCTAGTATTCTTTCCTGCCTGCCAGTGGTATTTCTTACTAGATGCTATACATCCAAGGGAACAAAGTCACACTATGTATTTGTGAGTGATAAAAGAAAAATTAGTTCACAGATATGACTCCTCAACTTGAGACTAAAATTGGTGAAACGGTTTCTCATACAGCTATCCCTGGGCCTATGTTAAATAAAAGAGAGGATCTTAAAGCAAAAATTCTTCTCTGCAGAGGTTCACATTCTTTCCATTTCAATAAATTAGAAAGCCTTAGAAAGTGGTGGCGAAAAAAGAAAGAAAAGGTGTGCCCTAAGGACAAGAGTTTAAAAAATCATCACTGAGAGGTGTTACTGCTCTTCAAGGCACTACAATATCACAAGTTCGTGCCTGCGCACCAGCCCGAAGATGACAGGCTGTTATAGGGAACCATATCCTTTGATAAAAACACCACCAAAATTCCACTGATGATTTAGCCTGCGGCAGTACCCAATATGACTGCCAGTGTTCACCTACTCCTTTGGCATTTTGACAATTCTTGTTCTATTATATCAAGCAGAAGTTAAACCAACATAATCTAATTTACTGAAGGAGATGAGTAAGCTTAATGATCTGCTTCTCTGAAAAGAAAAAAGTTTGTGTCTTTTGAGGAGTCAACACTGGTCCCTAGATGTTCTGTGGTCATCCTGGAGGAGGAACTCTTGCCCAGCTATGCTAGTGCTTCTCTCCTCCCATAGAACTTTTTATTGTCTTTTTATTTAGATGATGGTAGGTTTATCCTGAAAGTTGATCATTGCTCTTCAGAGTCTGAAGTCCATCTCACCATGTTTTTAGGTGACACAGGGATTTTAACTAGCATCCCTGGACTTCCTCAGTCTTTTTGAAGAGGAGTGATGCAATTGTGTCAAAAATCAGTGTAACATACAAGTTATAACTAAGACAAAACATACAGGCAGTCTGCAGCAAGTGGGCTACAGAGGTAAACTCTAGAGCCCAGTGATTGCAAATCTGCCTATAAGCTTAGGCAGCAGTAAGAAGTACAAAGAGGAAATATTTTTATGTATGAATTAAAGAATATATACACACACTCTAACACATAAAATCAAAAAGGAGTTCAAAGAATAGGACACAACTATCTTGTTTGCAATCCAAAGGCAAACTAGATTAATGGATATTCATTCTGTTCTGCTACCAAGGGCAGAACAGAGGACACTGCGGAGTACTGGTGGTGAGTCTTCCATTTAGTATCCTCAGAAATGAAACAATGCTTAGCAGACGAGTCTTACCACTTGCATTTCAAGGAGGTTGAAGTAAAGACATTCAGAAGTGTTTTGAGCACAGATTCATAGTTGTTTTGGACTGAAAGAATTTTTGTATGCTCTTTCAGGTCCTTTTTGCTTCTTACCTAAGTTCAGAATCTAGAAAAAGATTTTACCAATTTTACTTAAAAAAATCTAGGTGCCTCCTATTCACAGACCCACTTTCATTTCACCCTACATAGATTTCTTAACAAAGCAACTTTCATCTTTCAAGCACCTCTAACTTAACAATGAAACCTGGGAATGCATGTCTTGGAACCTGCACTCAAACGGCTGCAGGCTCTACTCTTCCTCTCCACTGCACCCTTCCTGGGATTGCTTTCTGCTCTAAATCAGAAAAAATAGCCACATTTATCAGTCCTAATCCAGCCACAAAGCAGTAATAGCAGCCTTTTCACTTACTTCCCTGTTAAACACATAACCTTTAATGTTTATGAGACCTCAACTAACTTACTAAGTTTGTCTTAACACTTACTTTCACAAACAAATTGGAACAATTTCTTGAACTATATAAAAAGTGTAATTAAATCATCTGTGATTCAGCTGAAATATTGCTTTGTGTGGCTTGTCTTACGGTAACATGTATTAATCAAATAATACCAGTCCAGTTAAAATGGAATCAAGCCTTTCACCTTTACAGAATACTCTTAGAGCTAGAAAGTGCTGTCTGAGTGGTACAGTGTTTAGGAATTAGTGCAACAAACTGTCCAAAACAAAATAAAAGCAGTTATTGAAAATTACTATCTTGTTACTAACAGATGAGTATCAAGGTTGTGAAGGACTCCACGGTAAGTTTAAACTGTATTTAAAGAAAACTGCCTAATTTAAATAGCTGCCTATTGTGTAATGATTTCTTTTAGACAGGTAGGATTGTTTTTTTTTTTTTCCTCCAGTGGTTTCACAGTCACTCAGAGTAAAGACAATTCTCTTCTGTTCAGAAATATGAAGCATACTATTTAAAAACACCCAATTCAGCAAGTTTTTCTAGGAAGGATAAACTATCCTGATCTCTCTTATTATTTTTAGCCGCTTATATTACTCATGCTATATTTTAAGCATGTGTTGAAGCTTGTACTTTTTTATTTCTTTATTAGCTAAAAAGATTAAAGCTAGGTTTTAATTTTTTAAAAAATACTAGGGTCTGGACATGTGTATTCCAAGAGCAATAACTACAATTATTTAAGGGAAAATATAGCGAAAACACAGATGTTTTTTGAAAACCTGCAAACCTAACAGTTTTCACGGTGAAGATTATTTGCCATCTCAGTGCCTTCCTCCATTTTTAAGATCTTCTGCACTCACTGAAACTTACTCTGTCTTGACTTTTAGCTATGGAGTCAAACAGAATAAATAAGGCTTAGGTTTATATATACACTAGTATATATACATGAATCAATGATGTGCTTTCACATTTAAAACACCTGGGACATCGGTAGTCAAGGCTGTATGTAATACATAGCCACAGGACTACACCTTCACTGTCATATCTTCATCACAAGATTGCCCAATGCATAATTTTGATGAAGGGAATTAAACAGTGCTTATTCTGTCATTCTACTAATTGGAATACTGTACATAATACCATATATACCTAACTTCCTCAATTCCAAAAGAAATTCAAGCAATTAGAAGTACTTTTAAAACAGTCTTCTCTAAGCAACAGTAAAAAGACAGACATTAATCTCTGATCAATCTTGAGTGTCATTTTCACACTTTCTTTTGTGAGTTAGGCTTGTTTGAGGTTTTATTCTTCTTCTAATCAGCTCTGCTGGGAAAATTTTTTTAAAAAAAAAGTTCCATCACTGGTACAGATACAGTGGATACACGATCTATATTAACATACACTAAGAAAAACAGTGCCAGTTATGAGTTGCGCAGATGCAACAAAAAGCAGTTATTTTCCTTGTTTCCTCACCGTATGGTTGCAAAAAAGAAGACAACACTAAGACAGACACAGCTGATGCATTTTTTCAGCTTGCCAGGTATGTCTCCCAACCTTTGTAGCCTAATCATACATATACCCTTCCTCCTGATTTGCATATAAATTTGATTTCCTGTTTAGATTCCATACTCTAGTTTCCAGCATTATACTCCCTAGATGTGAATTTTTTGAACAGCAGTATGTGAAACAACTGACATCAGCTGCACTTCTCACCAAGAAATGTTTAAGAGTTTGTGAAAGCAGAGCTCAAGCAATTTTGCCCTTAGCAAACCAGCTTCACTTGGACATGTCTTCATTCAGTTTCTGAACTCCCACCAAAATCCCATACACAACTTGCTTCTAATTTTGAGAGAAATTCCATGCTGGAATAAAGTCAAAACCAAGAAGCTAGACCTGCACTGGTTTGAGCAAAATTGGCCTAAGTCGCACAAGGGCATGACGTGAAAGGAAAAAGTCAAGTACATGATCACCTGCAAGGAGATCTGCTTTCCTCTGTGTTAACCTACACTGGATGCACACTGACTCAGCTTGTATTTGACCTTCTTCAAAGGCAACGTTTATGGTCTAAAACCAGCTCCAAGCTGCTGGCTGTCACACTAAACCAAATCTAAACAAAAAGCTTCCTATTCAGGGCCTTGAGATTATTTGGTGGATTAACACACAAACACCAGTCATCAGTACCGCACACAGATGTAAGCACACCCAAGGTAACAGAAGCTATCCCACTCCCCAGTTGTAGCCTACCGTGCCTTTATCCTGAAGGCACATCATCAGAGTGCAGACGTCACCTGTTGCTTGATGGTTGACCAGCACCATGGCTTCATCTTCTGATACTGCTTTAACTTCATCACCCCATTCCACTACTATTAAAAAAAAATAAATGAAAAGATAAATCTTACAATGACCATGTGGAAATTTTGCTATCAACAAAAAAACCCCAAAGACCCTGCACTCAGACAACTGTAATAAAGAAACATACATGCTACATGTCAATTTAAATTGACACATAGCATAAGATAGGATTATTAGCAAGACCATTTTTCCAAGCAGGGGGTATCCAGCTTAGTTTTAAATTGCATGCAGAGAATAAGAACAAAACAAAAATACTCTACCAGAACATATGCACCAAGATTGATCTTTTTGTGTCATTACACCATTCTGTATTTAGGGTCTCAAATTTACATAAACTTTTGATCCAGCTTTCAAATTCAACTGTCTGACCTCATCAGATTAAAAAAAAATATCATGTTGTCAAAAATATTTTTTTACTGTTGCTTTGTGTTTTTTTTTTTTTTTTTAAACTTAGCAAGTTTATTTCATTTCTACACTTACTATTATTAAACTACTCCAGTAAAAGCAAAACAAAAATATGCAGTTGGATCATTAGGTTTAAAATGCTACATTAGACAAACTCAGTACTTCAAATCTAAACAAGTTATCTATAGTCAAGAAAGTGGGTTCAGAAAATGCTGCTCAGATGACAGAAACTATTAGTCACTATTTTGTAGACCAGAGACCAGATACTCCAGTGGCAAGAATGATGTCAGGAGGAAGCTACAGCTGTTGACCATCCAACATTTATACTGACTACCAAAAATATGCTGAGGTAAGGAAAAGGAGTTAAAATTGCTATTTCCATCATCACAAAGTAACTAAATAGAGAAAGAGAAGACTGCTTCCCAAAGAAGAACAGAGGATGGAAAACTAGAAAAAGTCTGTGGTAAATTAAAGACCGGAATACATCTAATGCTGCTATTGGGGCAAAGAGACGAGTAGAGTCTGGCCCTCTTCAATAAAAGGGATGGTTACTGCAATGCAGGGTGAAGGGAAAGGATGGGCAGGCAGAGTAGCTCTATGAAGTCCAAAAGGAAAAGATGCATTGCCCATGCACGTAGGATATGATTATTTTTCTGTTTGTGCAGTATCTTAAGTGGTTCTTATTTTAATTTCTGACATCAAAGGAAATATTTCACCTCCACTACTGAATCTTTAGTACCATTATTAACAGGTCTCCAGGCAGTGAACAACTCTTATCATAGGACAATTAATTATTTTACTACTATGTGTCCTTTCAGCAGTGCTTTAACTGATGCAAAAGCAACAGGCTACACACTGAAGACAAGAAGCAATAATCCGTGCATAGCTTCCCTGTCCTTGCAGAAATCCAATTAGCATCACACCTTTGAAAACTGCCACTCCTATTACTTTCTAGCAGCTCCCAAATTAGTACTGAATTGAGACTTGAACATAAAGTAAAAAAAATAAAATGTTATTTGGTCACAAATAGGTAGAAACAGAGTAGAGATTTGAAGGTGGGGAGGACTATTCATTCCCTAATGTTCAACCATGTTTCCTTTCCCTGGGCAAGTGAAGCACGGATGCCTTCTTATTTTTCTCAACATGAACTTGGAAGATCCTCTTTATTCCTCCTCCCCAGTGACATTCAAATTCCCTCCAATGTCCTCCCAAACTCCATGGAAGTTGGAAAACGCCTGGACACAGCAGTCATGGTTGATCGTGCACCTTCCGTCTCAAGTATTTCACATATCTACCTATGGCAGTACCCCACAAGGCAAGAAACCAAGATGAGATGAGAATTGTTTTACAGGGAAATGAATCAACCACGTACTGATGTTGAAATTATTGCTTCAGTGTCTTTATTAAGCAGCCAATATACAGTAGTCTTACTGAACTGTGGCTTTCCAAAAGTAATAAAAACTAAGCACTAAATCCATTAAGCATCTGCAAAATAAGATTTCTCACAAATAGCTAATTATTTCAAAATAAAATTTTATTTCTGAATCAGTCAGAGAAAAGAATTGATTACTATAGATACTTCCCTGGAACATATCAATTTATACTACTAATCATTGCTACTATAGAGCTGTTGAAAAACAAGCTATTTTTAATCTTCAAAAATGTTTCACATATCTAACTTTCTGAAGGATTAAAATAAAGTTAGAGCGAAAAATGTAAGCCGTGAAAAGTAGAGTAGCATGCAATTGAAAATAACTAAAAGAGAACTTATGAAGCTGAACTTGTTGGAAGAACGTACATCTTTATCATACTAGGTGAAGACTAATGTCAGACTTTGAAACTTTCAGATAGATGTTTTCAAACTAAAACAGGGAAAAAAGCTTCTGCAGTTAGCTAGAGTGTTTTATCTACACTTGTTAAATACAGTAGAGGGTAGTAAAAACACACAACCTGCTTACAATGCACTAACAAGTTTCAGCTGAGAAGTAGTAAAAAGGTGGGCTCTGTTATCCTCCTCCAAATGCAAGGTAAAAAAGAAAGTTTGATTTAACACTTTAATTGTTTTACTCAATTTTATCTGTCAACTGGTCAGGCTAATTGCTCAACTTCTGTGCCTCAGCTGACAGTAAGTTATTAAACCATAGTAATTCAGCTGGACATTCTCTAGTTTCTTTTCTCTCTGTCATTTCTCCTCAGGCAATCAAGTTGTCTCTTGTGCATAAGGCTTTATGGTCAATTGATTGACCTGATTATCAGGGAGAAAATAATCAGTTTGTGCAAGTCCTTCACAGAGTATTTCTGGATTGGAAACAGAACAGCAAACCACAAAAGTGTGCAGAAAAACCACTGCTGTTACCACAATTTTTTAAAGCAGAAAAAACCCTCAATTATTTAGAATTTTAAGTTCACAGTGTCACTTTAAACTCAGTGGGGGGGAATAAATGCTTGTCTTCTATTTTCTCACCACACTGAAATTTTCAAAAGGAGCACCTTTTGCTTTAAGAAATACTTGTGCTATTACATTCCTCCACTGCAGTTGGAAACATTCAAATCAAAACCTCAGCTGCATGGCACCAGATCCAAGAACACTGCTTTGCTCCACTGTAACAAGAGAAAAAAACAGCTCAAAGACAAACGTTTATCACTCAAGGGCCTGAAAACCAGCAAACATTCCTCCACAGCTTCCTTTTATTGTCAGGGCACATTTTATAAGGGTACTAGCTCTGTATCTACAGTCTCATAATAGTTAGATTACTGCAAATGCAGTTTAACATAGTGAAATAACATAAAGGAAGGAAAGAGCAGGAAATCAGTTTCACACGGTAATTTGAAATAATGGTAAACTCAGTACCTAGAAACTCTGGTAATTCTGATCAGTAATAACATCTTTCACCCTCAAGATTGGGACAGAAGTGGCTTAGCTCTAAGAGAAACTTCATTTCTGACTTAGTGTTATAAGCAAAAGGCTTCTCCAGGAAAGGACAAAGACAAGTTTCCCTGCAATGGCATGTGCCATAAGACAGAAAGATTTATCCTTCTCTTGTAACAAGAAGTCCAAGATGTACACAAGACTCTAAAACATCAAGAAAATATTTCATAAAATTAGCTGCAAACTGAGCTTTTCATCGCTAATCCTTGCAGAGCTTAAAGAAGAAAATAAAAGCAATAAAAGAGTTTTTTCCACATTTTTACTGAACTATTAGACAACTAAATGTAGCTTTTGAAAGTTCTCAGAACACTTGGCTGCTTTGTAATCATGTCCTTAACATAACTGTGTGCATGTAAGCAATGCTATGAATATTCAAGCACTCTAATTGCATTATGTCATTAGACTGGGCAAATGACTACTTAGCTAACTAAAAATTCAGTAGATGTATTTTACATTTTTGAATATACCTGGCAAGAATGGCAGTCTAGTATTTTGCACAATTGCTCAGCAATTAGTATTAACTACTTCACTTTGCGTACTGCATTTTAAAACTTAAATATGTTCTGAAATTTCTGACCATCTCTTTTTCATTATAGCTAATAGTTTCACTCCAGTATGTGTCATAAGAATTGGCGTAAATTTTAGTGGCATCTTAACAACATAAGTTCTAATGAATACTTGGAGTTATTATTGCAAAATGTATTGAGCTTTAACTTCTTATTTCCCCACTGAATTGGAAAGAAAAAAAGAAAAACCTGCCTCCTGCCAGAAATTTCAATAGCCATTAGGAAATGAGCAGTGAAGGAACCGGATTCAATTCTCATACTAGCATCATCCAAATCTAAAAGATACCAATATTAAGCTCATAAATAAAAAACATGAAAAGACTGATGCGTTATGGCAAGGTCAGGGAAACTCTTTAAGTGTTCTAATCACAATTATTAAAAACCCCAAACCCACAAAACATCTAGATAAATCACCTGAAAGTTATGATATATGTAACTGTATGATTGTTTTGGATATCCACTTTATTTGCCATTTAGATTTGAGTCTACACACAATATTCACAACTTTCTCTAGAAACTGGAGAACAACTACTCCACAACTTCCCACTCCTTAGTTTATTTTTCTTCTGATCACTTGTAATCCCTCGCATCCATTATCAAGACTTCAGGAAAACCTGTTCCAAGAAGTTGCAGGTTAGCAACACTTAAGAGCAGAACAGTACCACCTTTTGACAATTGCTTGGAAACCTTCAGTAACAAATAAACGACATTATTAATGGACAGCCTCCTTTGCTTCCTCAAAAGCCATGCTGCTTTCTAAAAGAAGGAACATTATTATTAGGTATTCAGTAGTGACTGTAACTCATGACAACCAGGTTTCTATGTTTTAAACAGTCCTCCTCATACACAAGCCTTTGTGGCTGTCAAGTTGCAACCCTGCTTTACTGTTACATACGGCTCGTCAAAGCATGTTGCAGCTAGAGTAGCTATGTACAGTTGTTAAACTCATTTGTGTCTCCTTTATAGATGGGATTCTTTGATAGCTGGCATTAAGAAATCCAAGAAGTGACTCCAGAGGTTAAATATTACTTAGCATGCCTAGACCACATTAAAAAAAAAAAAAATGGATAAAGACATGCTAAAGGTGGTTATTTTTTTTTCCCTTAACAAA